GAGCCATGTTTTTCAAGAAAGTTGAGATTCAAGATATTTTGAAAAACTTGAGAAAGATATTACGGGTTAAAAAACAGATTTCCATTTCATTTTCTAATGACGTACTCATGAAAAACGCCTCCATAGATGTAGCGAGTGAGTATCAACAACAGTTGATCAGAACAACTAAACACCAAAATAAATTTACTAATAAAGTATTTGGTATAGAAATAATCGTTTTGATTGGAATTGGCAGAGAGAAGAAGCCTCGGGTTATTTTTATGAGTGCTGTGGAAAATTTCCGTGAGAGAGACTAATCTTTATGTAAATCGAATGAGGGTCAAGGTTGTTCCCAGAACTCGCAAAGAAAGAAAAACAAAAGAAGAAAGAAATGAAAAACACCTTTTTACTCTTCGAAGATAACCTAAAAAAAATACAGCTTCATTAAAAATGATGCTGAATATTCTCCGAGTTAAAATAAAAAAACTCAGGAATACAGTGTATAATATATTTACTTTATGATCCAACATTAACAAAGAAGAAGGAATATAAAATAAAGAAAATCATTTTTGACACAGCAGGAGCTGTCCGATAAAATCGCAAATCGGCGCCGGGATGAAACTAAGATTTGCGATCTCAACTAATTGCTTTTAGAGACATTTTACGACAGTCAATTAATGTTAAACGTGTGTTTTCAACAGCCCGATAATGGATTGGGGGGGCGGGGGGGGGAATGCCAGAATGTGCTCATGGAAATTAGGGAGTTCAATCTCAGTTCAGGATTTCAGTGGTAAACTCCAATATTTTGTTCTTAAGCTATTTTCAGGGTTGCAGTAATGGTTGATTTAACGGCTACCTCCCACAAAAACCACGCCACAATTTTAGACAGGTATCTCTTTCCTCTCAAAATTAGAATTCCGCCTCCCCGCTCCCCCCAATCTAGATTATTTTGTTTTTCATTGTGGAAAATCTAAAATCTAATCGGGGAAATGAAACTTAATGTAAATAGATAACAAAAGTGCTTTTGCGGTTTAATTTTGAGTTATCCTGGAGGGTGGAAGTCGAAAACAAAGATCAATAAGACAATTGAATTAAACGTGTTGCCAAAGTCATAACTTGTTTTGATATAAATACACCTATTAGTGTTTGACGCAAATTTTCCAGAGAGGTCGTCTGCAAGTCACGTATTTAAAACTATAGCTCTCTCAAATAGGTGGTGGAAATTTTTCACTGGCACTGAGATGTCTCATTTACATCTATCTATTTTCTTTTACAGGGGAACTGTTTGATTTAAACTTATGAAAACAGACATAGACATAGCCGTCTGAATAGCGGTAATATTCTCATAAACCATCGCTCATCTTAACCTTGGATATTAGAAAAAGAACTGCGTCATTTTCGTCAAATCCAAACAAGAACACCTTATTCAAGACTGAATATTTTTGACGCCCTCTTCACGAAATGGTGTCATATTCAACAGAAACCATTTTAACGTCAATATTCATGATAACCGTGTCCTTTGTGGCTGTCATTGGGAACTCTTTGGTAATCCTTGCAATCTTGTGGAATAAAAGACTTCGTACGATATGCAATTTTCTGTTTCTGAACCTTGCTGTGGCCGACATGCTTCAGGGAGCCATTGCTATGCCTCTCCGCCTGGCAGATCAGCTAAATCAAACAGAAAAACGCCCTCTCATTCCTTGCTTGGTTGTCATACCACTTACCGTCTTTCTTTTTGGTGCGTCCAATTTCAATCTCACGTTGATAAGCCTCGATCGATATTTGGCGTTAAAGAAGCCCTTTCTCTATACAAACTTCGCCGATCCACGCAAGGCGACAATTATAGTCGCACTTTCTTGGCTGCTAATTTTTATTATCGCATTTCTTCCTATTTTCGGATGGGGACAGACAGACACAGCCGATATAACTGATATTTGTTTGTACTCCACCACACTAAGCCGGGATTACTTGTTCATGCTATTTTCCATCGTCAATTTATCTGTCATCATCACCCTAGCTTTTACCAACTATTTCATCCTTAAAACTGCTCGTAATCAAATCCGCCGTATAAATATAACCCAAAGTCACGTAACCGGCATAGATGGTGCCCTTTCGGTTCAAAAAGATGACTTATCGGTTTCGGTCGTCTTAGGCCGACCGACTTCCGACTGTGAGACGATGAATAGCGATCAATCACGAGCGAAAGTTCCGAAGGCTGGCGGGAGTAGAGAGCGAAGGGCAACAAAGATTATGCTGATAGTTGTTGGTATTTTTGTGTTCTTGACAACGCCAATCACAGTAATTGACATCATTAGCTTATTGGGTTGTCCCACTTGCACACCGCTAACATTCGTCAAAATAACAGTTTTCATGGCTTATTCCAATGCCTGTGTAAACGTGTTTGTATACGCTGGTTTCAACACGGATATGAGAAATACCTGGATTTGTATATATCGACAAGTTAAAGGAGCGATATCGAGTCGTTTCCGTTGCTAGCAAAGCTTGAAAGAGAAGATAATAGTACTAATAATAGCACAAATAACAATAATGATAATATATAATAATAATGGCTTTATTTAAGGATGTTTATAACAGAGTCGTTTAACAGTTTGATGTAGAAGTCGAACTTAATCGCCCTAGAGATTAGATGCTGAGTTTCTAGGCAAATTGATGAAACCATCTAAAGCAACCGTTTTCGACAGACGGCAACTGCCAAAAATTTAACATCCTTTCGCAAGCAAACCTAACAAAATGGATACGTCTTCTTCTTAACATATTTTCTTTTTTCCATTAAATAATCTCAAAATATGGATATAACATTTCACAATTAATTTAAAGTTTTACGGAAACGTAACTTTCACCAATTAGTTTGTACTTGCGTGAGTTATTTGATATATGGACAAGTGAATTAATTAACCAAATCCTTACTGGTGCCAACAAATACCCTGGGCTGCAGACATAGCATCAATATGTATAAGCATGTAGACGATAACTAGATTGAAATAAACAAACGAACTCAGAATCAAGAATTACACGTGATATTCTTTATCAAAATAATCGTTAAAAAAAATGAGATCGTAGAAAAAACGGTCTATAAACCGTATATGAATGCAAAAAGCTAGAATAATTTTTTCTTTGTTTGTGTAGTGTAGATTCTCTAATAGATTTGTAAAACAGGATACACTTTATGATACATCTGAAATGTATGAAAAACTACGAGGAAAACATGACTACTGTTACTACTGTATAAATATGTTACTCCGCTAAAGATGACAAACCTCTCAATTAGAAACAACCACTGAACAAACAATTAAGCATGAAAAACAATCACGATAATGACGTTAATAATAATGAAAATAAGAATTATAATACTACTTTTAAACAGAACGAGATATGGAAAAGATTTTTATCTATGATGAATGGTTTAGTAACACACAGCTTTACTGAACGTGCATCAACAGTGGTTGTTCGTAAGTAGGGCGGCCAGCATAAAACATCAGGACCAACTAACTATGAGGCGAGTCTCTGAAGCACCAAGTATTATAGCAAAAACATATAGGCCTTGAACCTGTAATAAAATGAAATAAAGGCAATGGATATGCAAGTTAATAAACAAATGAATAAATGAATAAAGAGTAGCACACGCATATCAGTTTTTCTTTGATGTCGGAAGTAGCGAGGTGTATGTTGAAATTTATCATAAATATGCAATGTCATCATGATCAGTTCTTAAACTTATGATTAAAATGTTTATCCAACCTCTTCGTTCCAAGCCATCGAGGTCTGGGTGATGAGTTTACAAAAGACAAAATAAGAGGAAAGTAATTCTCTTCCGGTCGCTGAACTGACGTTGGTGACCACTTTCGTTCCCGTTGTTGCACTTCCGCTGAGTCCGCTGGAAAACAGACAAACGGCGAATGTTTGGGATTCGTGAGGCCTTTTAAGGGTTGCAAACGCCAAACTTGTGTAGAAATATTATAAAACTGTCGGTAGGAAGCTAAAAACACATGAAAAACCATTGTATTTTTCGCGTTTTTCTTTCTAATCCGAAATGAAGTAGTAGCTTTTTTCTTGGTCTTGGTATCCGCGCTTCAGCAATGAATGGCTATTCCTTACAAGTCCCTAATCTATGCAGAACTCTGCATTTAAAATAGTTTGACGTAACATGTTAATATGTTAGTTTTGATTAAAAAAAAATCGAATTACATGTTGGTTTTCAGAGACTGTTCGTTTCGCCGTTGTGTAAGCAAATTAAAAGTGAAAAATACATATCAGCTCCCGGGAAATCCATTATTTTATTGATTTATCGCATGCAACCATGTTGTGCTGCTTGTGGTCTCCCACTGTCATTTAAGTAAAATGCTTTAATTCAAAGGTAGCTGACCAATAAGACGTCACTCTGAAAACTTCTTTCCCAACCTGGCTTTACATAATGACATATCGGAAATTTCAAATTCATTAGTTGTCGAATTTAACCTGAAAAAGTGATAAATTATTTATGTAGTGATTCACACCTGCTTGCTAAAGTTAGCTTATGATGTTTAGCAACGACGCAAATTGTTGTGTATATTCTTTACGATAAAAACGGCGTCGATTCTGAGCCATTTAAGATGTTTCAGTTGCAGATTGTGTTCATACATTCACTTACCTGAATCGACGTTTAACCTTTGACGTAAATTGGGAGGAAAATATGTGACTAAATATGTTTGCATTGACATCGACAAACTTGCCGCACTTCATCCGCTTTGTTTGACGATTTACGTGAGACGTGAACGTTTTGGACAATTTATGGTCAATACGTCGAATAAAGAAGTCAAAATTTTATTTATTCTGCAAACTTGAGTTCACGAGTGGCTTACAACCGGGACAGCTCAGCGCTCTTCGGCCAACAATATCATTCCACAAGGTAAACCAGATATTATTTCCATTCTAGATAGTAGATTTGACTTGAATAGTTCGTCCAGACATTTTGAATGGACAGAAACGTTAGCCATTATTCTTTAAATCTTAAACGGACTCAAATGGACGAAAGAAGATTTCCGAATGGCAAAATTGGTATCCATGGAAACAAGTTATGCAGCGCTCCTTCGATATTGCCGCCCCTATTATTTGGCGAAGAAGCCCGCCATCTTGTTTATGTCTTTTGTGAAGGAGGCGAGAGATCAAGAAAAAGCAAAAAACACGGCTATCGGAGGAAGTATTGCTCGCTTTGTCGCCATTTCCACGAAGCACCTTCTTTCAAAGATGGGATTGAGAAGTATTTTTCTTGCCGAGAATCTCCCCAGATTTTCCAGCGTGGAGAAAAATTACTTAACAAAGGTGATCTGAGCTCTGATGGGGACATAAGTCGTTTGGAAGAAATTGGTACTCCTGTTGCAGAGGAAGAAAACTTGAGGACTCTCTCGATAGAAGGATTAAAAATGTACAAGAAAAAAAGTAAAACAAGCCATCAATCAGGTATAAGGAAATCTGAGGGGGAGCAAGGAGGGGCCAGTTTGAACAGGGAGACAGATAAGAAAAACACGTCTGCCCGAAGCGGTTGTAAAGTTTGTGCGGAGCGAACAGGTAACGAGAATGAGAAGAATAAATCAAAGAAAAAGATGATCAAGATAGTCCTGCCTTCATTCGAATGAAAGCCAAGTTTTACAGTACATGTATACCATGCAATAAGACTTTGGCCGAATTAGTAACTATTCTGACACTGAAGGTTCTCTTTACCAGCGAGAACTGTTCACTTGGTCACTAACAAAGTTTACTCAAGTCCTGGAAAACTCATTACATGGCAGGTTTAATTTGGACACTGACTTAGAGGGTTGGTTCATGGTGAATAACCTTACCAAACACTAACTTGGTAATCAACTGTTCAAATAATGAACTGATCATCACAGGTGATCTGCAGTTAAATCGTTAGGTTTGAAAAATCCGATTCTAATAAGGCGATACTACCAACTGGGAGTAGCTGCTAATTCACGAACAATGATAGGAATAGATATGGGATTTACAAGTTTATAAGCCGCGGATTATCTAACACGCTCTTAAGGTAAGGAATACTTGCAAACATTCCGAAAGCAATAACTCTTCTTGTACTGAGAAATTAATAATTCTCGGGCAGTTCTGTTTCCCGAAATTAAGGAAAGGAAAATGGTACAATATACACGATTCAAGGATTCGTACATTTCGATAGAAAGAAGTGATGAAATGAATTGCAGTTATTGGCTGACTAACATTTAAAGGTGAAGTCAAGATATAGCCAGAAATCTAAACAAGTGGCTCATTCAGACTAGGAATAGTAGTACAGTTTATTTCAATAGAGAGCATGATTAAAGTCAAAGACTGTAACCTCCCTCATGGCCTTATAAATTATAAATTGCAAACACATTATATAACATAGCTAGTAAATTTGTCTAATCAAATTCAATTGCGCGAGCATGCTTCATATTCCTATTGTGCACGCTCATGACGTCAGCAAACATATCCCTCGAGAAAAAAATTTTCCATCGGGTTGAAAATGTTATAAAACAATTGGTTCATACGTCAGCTGTGCGTTCATCGAGATATGAAGCACTTGGGAAGTTTAGAGAGCGCTCAAGAAGTTAGAGTTGCTCGAGGCGTAGCCTCGAGCAACTCTTACGCATCTTTCGTGCTCTCCAAATTTCCCGCGTGCTTCATATCTCGAGGAACACACGCTGACGTATGAACCAATTGTTAACTATGACATAGCTAGTAAATTTGTCTCATCAAATTCAGTTGCGCGAGCGTGCTTCATATTCCTATCGTGCACGCTCATGACGTCAGCAAACAAATCCCTCGAGAAGCAAGAGTTACTACGCCTCGAGCAACTCTTACGCATCTTTCGTGCTCTCCAAACTTCCCGCGTGCTCCATATCTCGATGAACGCACGCTGACATATGAACCGATTGTTAAATGATAAAAATTACTAAAAAAAAAAAGGTTAAAACACTCATGTAGCTAAAATGATCTCTCAATTTCGAAGCTGTCAGGCGTGAATTTCCTCATGATAAATTCAGAGGAACTTCATCCAATTTTCGTCACAGTAGAAAGACAGACTAAATCAAATGTTACACGGTTTAACAGAAGAATAAAAAAAATATTCGCTTCATATTATTAGTACGTGGAATGGGAAGGTGGTAGACCTAATATCGTATGCTTTTGGTATTTATCAGTGAGGTAATCTGTTATGTGTCCATCCAGAATTTTTTTAATGTCCCCCCAGCATTTCCTCAAGCTTCCTAATCCTATACCCAGATCCTACTGTGTAACTGTAACTCACCGCTGGGCCGTGTAAGGTCTGGAGAGACTACAAGTTTCCCGGACGGTCGCCGGTATTCTTTAATATCCCTGGGTGGAGAGTGGCACTTTGAAAGTAAATGGTCACACCCAAGAGCAGTTCAAATGAATTAATCGAAGGAAAGAGCATTTTTCCACATATTGTGCGCACAGTTGTAAATCGTGCACCTAGAAACTAATGTTGTAAGGAAATTTTGTTGGGAATATAATAAACTAAAAGTGGCTTGAACTATTCGCGTATTTCGTGCCATTTATGGCACACGTGCTGTTTTGAAAGGTTTTTAAATTTCATTCGCATGCGCCGCGGGTAATAACGAAAACTTTCAGAACTTCACTTGTACCTATAAATCATGAAATTAAAGTTATAACAAAATCCTCGGACGTGTTTAGTTATCACTCGCCCAAATTGAGCGCAATGTAATTGAACAGTACGCGTCATGTGCGCACGCTGTTGTCGTTCATTCCGCCGAGTTAGCTGGTTTTTTTTTTTTTTTTTTTTTTTTTTTTTTTTCATGTAAACGTATAACCGATGGTAAATTTTTGGTTAATTGAAGACAGGAATTCCTGTCGTCCACTTCGGTCTGAAATTGTTCGGATTCTTGCTTCGCGGTCACCCGATTTTGTAAATCACTCGTATGATTATAAATTGAATTGGACTCCACTCAGTCCTATTAGCATCACAAATTCACTCGCGTTTATACTCATAACACAGCTAGTAAACTCATGAAATCAAATTGAATTATGCGAGCAAGCTTCATAATCCTGGTGTGTTCGGTAATGGGAAATGAATTTGCATTTAAGCTTAAAAATGGCTCATTTGTAAGTTATGCTCTCATCGAGATACGAAGCACTTAAAAATTTCGAAAGCATCTCAAGTGGCTAGAACGGCTGTCGCTCTCGTCTTTGCCCCGAGCAGTTTTCCATTGTTCACGCGTCTTTTATGCCCTCCAACCAACCCGCGTGTTTCTCCCAACGAACACACGTTGACGCACCAATCGATTGTCATTATTAGTGGTCTTGACGCAAAAAAAAACAGTCGCCATTCAAAGCAGATGTAAGAAAAAAAAATAAACATATCAAAATGAAGCAATTGAAGAACCACAGGATGAGCGTTTGAGCCCTCACGACTCCGCCTTGCAGTGAAGGTCAACGATGCAAAACTTAGATACTGTAATACGAATACGTGACGCTCAAGCTGAAGTGTTTTACTGGCGCAAACTCTACGCGGTAAAAAATTTACAAATTAAGAAACAATCAGGACGGTGATTAACCCAAAAAGAAAAAGGAACACAATGTATCATTCAGTATGTAAAAAAGACATGCTCTTCGAAGGGAACATGTCTTTCTTCGTGTTATTCGATTCCGCAAATTAGCGATTGCGAAAACACTCAATGGCGGGCCTTGTGCAGGTCTCATCAGAAAACAAGTGTGCATCTTGTCTTTGGCCAGTCAGTTGTAAAATTATGAATCGTAACAGGTTTTCAGCTCAGTTATCAGCCTTTACGCTGGTCAATAAATTCTGTATTGGACCTGCGTTTCGCTTGGTACATATGGATTCCGCGCGAACTCGATAACCTCACTTATTAAGACAAGAGCGTACTCGAAATATTGAACCGCTTCAAAAGATTTCTGGTAAATCAGTGTCACTTCACTCAAAAGGAGTTTAAAAAAATTGTTATGCCATTTTCGAGTTATTTATACGTTTATCAAAACCGTATTTTTGGAGTTTCTTTTCGAATAAAACGACGCTCGGCTGCCCACATGGAATAGAATATCTCATTTCAATGTTTTTATGAAGGTATTAGAAACTGCTAAAAGGCAAGAAATTGCTGACAAAGAAAAACAATGACTTTCAACTTCACAAATACAGCACCAGCAATAACTTGCATCTATAGAAATGGTGTTAAAAACACACTAGGGCTGCGTTTTTCTTGCCGAAAGCTTGAACCGTCCTGAAAAAGTTTTTTATTTATTCCCTAATTTTGAAATTTGCGTGCATCACGTCAACCTTTAATCACACAACGAACAAATCAGCGCCAGACATTACAACAGCTAGGCCAAAGAGGTTAGGTGCTCTCGTTGATCTCGTAAACACACTTGGAAACCTGCCGTTTTTGTCTTTCTTTGACTTAGAAAATTATTGTTTTCGTGAAAAATCGAGCGAACAGCCGAATCGAGCAAGTAGTCGTTGATAGAAGATTACTGGAAATTGCCCAAATTCTTTAAATTTAATCAGTCAGTTAATCAATTTCTCTTAGGTGTTTTCATGGAAAGGGACGAAGTCGACGCAAAAAGAAAGTAAACTAGAATGAAATGAAATAAAATGAAAGATGAAACCAGGAAGTCAAAATAAAGCCTTCTTTATCGAAAATACTTCATCAAGAAAGACTTTTCGTGTTTTAGGAATATCATGCGTTTTATGCATGAGCCTCTGGATCGGGTGTGAGGGTAATCTCACTCACATCATGACACTAATAAATCGATTGATTGGCAAAAAGAATTTACAAGGAAACTCAGTGATACGTTAAATAAAATGAACTTGCGGTCTTCTTTGTGTGGTCAAGACGTGTTTTGCGACTCTACAGTCGAAAAACCGTGCCAAAAAAGATTTTTATAGTTACAGAAAAAGCAATTTGAAGCAAAAAATGGAAAGACGCAATAACAACAATAAAACAGAAAGAAATTTTTTCCCGTGGAATCAAAGTGGGCGATCCCGAGCAGGTGAGAAGGGCACATCCTACCCGCCTGAGTAGCTGGCAAAGAGGGGTTATTGTATATATAAATGGCACTATTGCATCCCTGCTGGTTTTATTTCAGAGGGTTCAGACGAATACCAACCTTTTACTGCAAAGGGATCAACATGTTCGTTCAAGACAGATGATTGTGGCTGCAATGAAAAAACTGACGATGGGCATGATGATGCCTTACGTGGCCTTATAAGTATGGCAAGTTTTTTTCCATTAAAACCAAGTGGCTATATCATTGTCGACTTGCTTTCTGTGCAATTTTTTGCTTTCAAGCACCATCAACTGCAGAATCAAATCATCTAAACACGATCCTAGACAAAAAAAATGGTCAACAATTTAATTTCCGACCATTTTTTGGTAATTTGACAGAAATAAACTTTTTTTTTCGGTTTCCGAGTGGTATATTCTGAAGCAATTATTTATCTCAGTGTCGGGGAAAGAGGCAGACATTTACCTCGGTGCTTTCGCGGCTCGATAAATATCCACCACTAATCACTTCCACTTCGGTGAATAATTGTTAATTATCAAACATTTCTGATAAAAATAGAGACTTTAACTTCCAACTCTAGTTTGAAACTTACTATGCCGATGAGTAAATACATTCAACATAGAATCTTTCCTTTCATAAATTTTGATTTAATCTTACATTTAAAATAGTTCCGATTATATCAGTATTTTATTGAAAATGCTAAGCATTTTTAAATTTCTAGTTGGGATTTTTATTGTTAGATGTTTATGTAAAACGCGAGGACTGTAAAAAGCTCACACCCCATGTTTAAATAAAGTATGTTATGTTATGTCATTACGGTTGAGAAAAGGAAGAAGTTACTTAAAGAAAAACAAAAGTTTCAAGCTTAGCAGTCCACAAGTTGATATTGGAAACAAGCTGAACCCTTAAGCTTGTAGGAGTTTTTAACAAGTAACTGCCCTTTTTCAGTGACAATGCATTAGCTAGCTAACAGGTGATGGGAACAAATAAACTAATCAGCCAGACTATTGTCTTGACTGGTACCAAAATCCCTCAACTAAGTTATCTTAAAATGTAAAGCGGCTAATAGGTAGAGATAAGAACCAAATTTAGTGAAAGGTAAAAAAAACAAAGGAGAGACGAGGACAAAAACCAAGTAAATTCATAACTTGGTGTTGAAGGTACTGGAATTTAATATTGTGAAACCTGCATTGATTAACGCCGGTTTGGTTTCCTATCCTTCTTTAGAATAAATGGTATGGGAACTAGGCTGAAAGGAAAATCCTAACCAAAGCTTTGCTGTCTGCTGCTGTGATCCTCAAAGCATTCCTTCGAATTTCCTCATTGCAAATCCATTTCAAAACTTCGGTTGGCAGCTGACTCTTTTTCTTTTTAGAGTGAAACTTTTCCGGGTGACAGTAGCTGACTTCAGTATCATCAAATGAGTTCAAATAACGCTTATAGCTCCTTTGAAATTAAATCTAAATTATTTCGAAACTTTGATTTTCATTTGGGATGTAGAAATGAAGGAAACTTAACTCGGGTCATCGAGGCCATTGGCAGGCAACCAGACCAGTTGAATGGTATTACTTCGGCCAGGAGCTACAACCACTTCACCAAGCGACAGACAACCAGGAACAATCATCACCAGCTACTTGCCGGGGCTACCAATACCTGGCGTCTTAAGTGCTCGGTAAAAGATACTTTTTTAAACCTGTTTCCAAACGAGTACTAGAAAATCAGTTAAATAAACGTTGAACTGTATTTATTAACAGTTATATAACCTGCGGTTACTTGCATGTGAAAGATAACCAGGTAAATAATACAGCTTGCTGTACCATACGAAATTTGTTCAATGAACGTTAAACAGTATTTCTTTTCAGCCATATAACGATCTGCGGTTGTTAGTATGTTGAGAAAATACTTGGAAAAATTTATGCCTTGCTTTCCAAATAACACACCATGCAATTCAGATATTTACAGTAAACGATTAGCTACCTTAAACTTAAACATATCAATCGCACCTAATTTTTTCAGGCCTGGAACTGAACATCAAAAACTAATACCAACTTGAGGTTACCGCTTTGTAGCCTTGCTTTATCCGTAACACTGTCAGTTACAAGCTTTTTGTATGCGTCAACCATTCGATTTAAGACGCTTTATATAAATTCCTGCATTGAGACAAAGAAAGAAATTCCAATCTAAGGGCGAACCAATGTTCCATTTTCTGTCTCGAAGAATTGTTTTTGAAGCCAGGATTTATAATTTAATCTCCAAGTCAACCATTCAACTGCTAAAGTGATGGTGCCATGATGAGTAAGGTGTCGAGATAAACAGTTGCTATTTCATTACGAAAGAATTAAGGATATAACGTAAAGTTCCTTTTTGTTCGTCAAACCCAAGAGTGAAGTGAAGCATTTCTGGCTACTTTAAGAATTTTATCACAAGAACTGCCAGATCACTGCCAGATCATGTTCCAGTTTCTGTGGCATAAAGCAAAGAGGAGTACCGCTACTCATCGTATTTGAGATACAAGCATGAGACGAAATCCTTAAGTTGACCTGTGTTACACAGGTTGGTGTGACCTTTTACCAGCAGCCATTGATTCTCATGGTTCGACGGTTTGACCCGCGCTCTCTGGGTCTACGGCAACGTTATTTATTTGGAGACCAGATGTTGGATGTTTTTTTAAAGCTAAATTTGCAACATTTCAGGTCTTGTTGTTCAGTTTAAACTCGCTTTCCTTCAGGTTGTCATGTGTATCCTTATAGACATCTTCTGACATCATATCACACACTTAAAACTCTCATGCAGGTAGATTTTGTCTTCAATGCACACATCGCAGCATTTCCTAGCACAGGACTCTAGTTTAATCTGGCTAAAGATATTTTTAAAACAATTTGTGGCTGAAAAACTTGATCCGTAGATAAGAGACGGGTTTTCGCTACATCAATTGAGGAAAGTCACTGCCACACAGGAAGTAAGTGTTCCAGGTACAGATTAGGAATAAAGCACTCGATTTAAGTCTTTCATGAGAGTTCATTCACTTATATTGGCCTGGATCTCTTTACTTGACACAATTGGTTACCATTGCGATTTTTGCATACGCCCTTCGCCACTTCTTCGCAGAGACCGCGTGTCTGGGGAAAAGTAAAGCACGGCCATTTCTTTGTGGCTTTTCACAGCTTGATCAGAAAATTTTTAACCAAACATTAACATTTATCCACTCCCAGTCCAGTTTCGAGATTAATTCATCCAGTCTGAAAGATTTGGAAAATAAAAATCTTAAAAGTATTACTTTTTTAATGGCTGGTAAGTCTTCTCTGAGTAGTCTTTGCTGACAGTTGTGGACTCCATAAAAGTGAACTTTGAAATCAAATAAAAACAACAGGCCACGATTTCAAAGCAAAATCCCAATGACCTTCCAGTAAAAATAATCTATCAAAAAAAATATTTAACTTTTCCGGCACTACGAACATCTAAAAACGACCATTTTACGAGAGAACTACCTTCTGACAGTATTTGACCTTAGTGACACTGAAACAGTTTTCCTTCAAAGACATAAGTCCACATGTTTGCAAGACCACATGTTCTCGGCGACAAAATTCAGTCGTTTTTATGTCTGATTTTGAACAAAGGTAATAGTAAATACCAGTTAATTGAAGCTAGCTAGAAACGGGTTATTCTATTGATTTAATTCTGTTTCTGATTTAACAAGCATATATCTTGGAAGGTACGCACTTTTTGCGAGTAATTCCTCGAGGTGTGAATCTCAGCTGGAAAATTGTTTGCGAAGATTTACATAAAAAAATCCTCACCCACTCAGTCAACTCACATGTCCACGAGAACATTTTAATTAAAGTCCTTTAAAGACCTTAGCTTATACAAATTATTCAATCATTCTTTCAAAATTGAAATTAATTTAAGAATTAAAAGCTTCAAAATCTTTGAAGATGACAAATGCATGCGAAGTAGATTTTAGATGCCAGTTCTTGGGACGATCTACTTGAGAAACAAGTGCATTTTGATAACTATGAGTTAATGTGCTCATTTTAAGATCTTTGAACCTTCGATTATAAAAGTGGTGAATCGTATAGAAAATGTAAAAAACGGTACGAGGTAGAATATTTTCTTGTGTGCTGTGCGTAGATCCATTCATTTATTTCTATTTATAGACATTAACCAAACGACCATTCATGCGAATGGGTTTTCTACCACCACTACGACAAAGTAAACACTCCGCGTTTCATTAAATCATTGAACAGAAATGAAACTTATCGGTTGAACAACTCTTGTTTTCCAAACGAGTTTTGTTCAAGACAAAATAACCTGTTCGGAGAGCGCACCATTGTTGAGATATCGCTTTCTTTGTTGAGCGAAACGTGTTGTTGTATGATTAAATTCCGCTAAACAAAGTACTCGCTATGTCTTGCTGCTGGGTGTGAAAGGCTTTAAAAGGCATTTAAATTGAAGTTAAATATAAATAGAAACATCCCGTGATAATCTAAAGATTTATAAAAAGAGGAAATTATTTTCCAAGGCCGTGAACACTACGGGGTCCTGTTTGTTGTAAAGGCAAGTTTACGCGTACTGTTTTTGACTGTGAATGATCTAGGTCTTGCTTTGTAAACCTTTCAAATCTTTGCTCGACAATAAACAGAATTAGACCACCAGTTCATTTTTGATACCTAAGTAAATTTACGAACGTTGCTTTCCCGATTCACAACAGTTTATAGTAGACGGTACATAAGATTTTGTATGCGTCATTTGAACGAGCCTGATTTCGTAATGAAGAAAATTGTGTCGGCAAAAGAACCTCTGTTTTATGTCGAACGAATCTTTTCTTTTTGTCCATTCTTTTTCAAAGACAACGCGAAAAACAAAGCTGAAAAGGTTTCCAGGCAATTTCTAAAGATGGCTAGAGAAATTTTATTCATTTAATTAACTTCACAGGTCGGTGAATAAGTTTTGAAAGAAAACAACGAGAAGGAATATCATATTAATAAATTATGGCCTGCGCGCGGTAGAGACAGCAAACCACTTAAATAGCACGTTTTTTTTTATTTTGCTTTTCGCTTTATCGTACAAACTTATATCTTACTTCCTTTTTTTTATATTATAAATGTTTTTCTCGTCTTTACAATGTTTACGTTGGAGAATTTTGTACAAACATATGAACTTTAGAATGCGAATACGACGTCTCTATTGCGTACGAATGTTCAAAATGAAAGGCCTAAACCGACCAAAATTGTTATCGAGTGCTCAATGTTGTACGAAATATCTTCACAGAAGTACCTTTATCTCTCGATAAACTTACAGCTAGACCTATGAAATTTGATTTAAAAAGTAACAAATTTACCATTCTAACGTCCGTTTGGGTGTCTTGATTTTATGTGACGATCTAAATCTCTTCTCCTGACCAAAACTTTACCGCAATACTGACATTTATAAGGAGTGTCCCCAACAGCATGAAGGCGGATGTGTTTAGCCATATTGCTCGGATCGCCAAATCTCTTTTGACAGTATTTGCACTTTAAAGGCTTGTAGCCCGTGTGAATACGCATGTGGATTTTAAGCCCGTATTTGCGGGTGTACAACTTGCCACACAGCTCACATAGATATCCCTTATTCACTTTTTTAGAGTTCAAATCGTTTATCATTTCCTCATTGCAACCTGTTTTCGGCTTGTCCGGTGTCATTTGATCCCCGTTTAAACCCGTTCCATCGGGGTTCGGCGTTGTGGAGGATGAAGGCAGTCTGCTAACGCCTTGTTCCGTTCCAAACATCATAGGACCCGTTGGATTCATAACCGGTTGGCCATTTAGTGATGGAAAACCCTGTGGAAATCCATATTTGAAAAATGGCATCGACGAAGGACTGCAGAGAGGAGGCCGGGGCTGGAGGAGAAACGCTGGATTATTTAACATATCCATCTGGTTTTGCGAAAACGAGGATTCCTGTGATAAGTTGTACCTCATTCCATTAAGTCCGTTAAGTTCGCTCAATAGTGGTCGTGAGATTGAAGGAAATTCTGAGGAAACTGGCACATTTCCAAGCTCGGGGCTCTTAAAACCGTTGAAGCTAGCCGAACTGAACGGCTGCGACTGATTAACAGGAGGAACAAGAGAGGAATTTTTTAAGCCATCAGGTTTAATTCCGAACGTTTCCGCCGTAAAGGATGGTAGGCTCACTGGTGTTAGCGGCGTAAGAACTGGTTGGAGCTTGTCCGGAGACTTAACGACCTGCAAATCGGCTGAGCTTGAGTGCAGCGAAAAGGGTGGCGAAGCCTTGGTAGACGACGAGCTGTCTCCAACGGAGTTTTGCAGCGATTTCGGGCTCTCCTTCATTAGAAAGGAATCCGTGTTGAAGTTGGAGAGGAATGGAAACTGATTCATTGCCAATGATAGGTTGTTGAAGCCATTAAAACCATTTAAACCGTTCAAACAACCCATGCTGTTGGATAAATTTAATCCAGATGAAGAATGTCCTCCGTTAATAATGGGTTTATCGTCGTGAACTGAGACGTCGGATAGGAATGCACTGCCATTATGGTGGTGCACGCTCCTGCTTGGTTCTCCATCGTGTTTGAGGTTGAGCGGTGGATCATTGTCCGTTTTCGATACCTGTATCCCGTCCGTATCCGAATTTGGAGTCAAAAACAAAGTGCTCATTCTCGGCGGCCTGTTCGGCGGGTTGTTTCTACTTGGAAGGCAACTGGTGTATGAGTGTGTTCGCTGACTGTGAAACAGGGGCTCTTTATAGCTCTTCCCACGGTTTGAGGCGCACTCAAATGCGATGTGCGTTTTAAGTGTGTTTGGGAATGCAAACACTTGCGAGCAGTGGTGACAAATATATTGGTATTCACCTGTGAAAGGAGCGACAGGTGTAGCAAGAGTTAATGACACGTGCTAGTGTACTAACCAATCAGAGCATTGCTTCGCGGGACAGCTAAGCAGCGAGTTCTTGACACGTGCGAGGCGCTCCAGTTTTCCCCGCCCTCATCACTGGCTGAGAAGTTAAAATAATATTGGAGCTAGAGCGAGGAAGGTTATTAATATTCAAAGACACATTTATTATTAACAAACCATGCTGTAATTAGCTTCACAATTATTAGCTGGAGGAAGTTAGATTTTATAGAAATTAGTGATTTTGTTTAGGTCGTAAATACTCTATCACTATCAGTGCGCGCGAGATGAAGCAGAGCACGGCGAAATGTGTCAAACGCATAGTATAAACGCGATTAACATACTGCCCCAAGTGAATTTCACTGATTTCCGAGACAATAAACTTTGCCACGAGGGTCGTTCAGAGCCTTTTGTTAGATCTTTTGTCAATGACTCCAGCCAATCAGATGCCGCCGTCTACGGTGCTTTCATATCAATTCGTCGTTAATGGGTGCCGTTGCCCGGGGGAAATCAGGAAGCGATCAGAAAACGTGAGGTGAGCCTTTTGCAAACAGCTGAGCAACTCTGCAAGAGAGATAGCTGGAAAGCAGAACCAGCGGAAACCGGTAAATAACGAACGTCTTTCCACGCTTTTTGATTCAAGAACGTTTCATTCTACAGGTGTTGAATGGTGGCCGTACTCAGCACACGTGACCCGCCAGTGGTTCGATGACGGGATTTGTTTAGTTCGCCCTTTGCTGCCTAAATATCTCAGAATTGCCACAAAGGGCTGGCTGTTCACATCGCACAATAGAAGTATCACGCTTTATACATATATAATTTTGACACGCGGCCGAAAAGGGAAATCTTTTGTCCTTGGAATGTATCTTAAGCTAACAGATGTGTAAGCAAGATCGAGGCTTCGAAACGTGCAAGATCTTTTCCTTCGGTACACACGGATAGACTTCAACCGGTTATTAACTTACCAGCGAACTTTAAAGTTATCAAGAAAATCAAAACGGGTGAGCCATTTTAGTGGATCATTTGAGGTACTCGGGTACCGGATTGCTCCTAGAAAGGACTTTAAATGACTTACGCTGGTCGCAAAACAGAAATCAGAGCTCTGTGCACGTGTTGTATTGTTCGTTCAAGCGCTACAATGTAGGTACCTAGGAAGCGCAAAATGTTTTGTTCGCTGTGGCTCAATGTGAGAGAATGTATACCTGAAGAAAAGAAAACAAAAGTAACCTGCACCTTGGTAAATATCGCCCGCACAATCAAGTGAGCAATTATTACACGAAAATTCGAGTTCTAAATCTCCTAGGGCTGACAAGTTTGCTAGCGATTCAAAGTTTGAAATCGTCACAGTTTGCGACTGCATATTTTGCGACAGTTTGCCAAACTATGCTGACTTACATGTTTCTATCGCACTTTTTGAACATTCCTATCGCAAGAAAGAATTTTGCTGGTTTAATGGTATCTTAACTAAATTCCGTTAGTCATTTAATCATGACATTTTAACATTAAATAATGAGTCTTCATAATTAGCCTCACTGTTTCTTTAGAATTAGTAGCATCGCGGTTTACCGCAGTGATACGCGCTACACAAAAACAACATTACTCTAGATAAAGGCAAAAGTTTCAGTGTTTTGAAGCTGATGTCCCAATACGTGAAAATGTTTGAATTACTGCAATTTCAATATGTCTGCTTCTGGTCGCAGAAAACCTGTCCAATCGACTCGATATTTATCTTCAAACTTGTTTCACTTCATAGGAGGTGTTACTGAGAAATACAAACATAGGGTTCACGATCTTTCTGGTGTCTGGACAAGAGAAAGCGCAACGGAAAATTCAGGATCCGGCCGTCATCTTAAAAAATCACGTCTCAACAAATCAAGAATTCATTTGCAGAAAAATTATCCGTGGTTTAATTGCAAATTAATTTGGAATGCAAAGACTCTCCTGTTCCAAGATGGAATATTCAGCTCTGCAGACCAGGGCGCGTGGCTACCGTGTTAAGCAAATTACCAGCTACCCAAATTAACACCAAAAATTTCCGTTTTGCCGTAAATTCCTGCGGGCGTTTAGACAGTTAAATAACTCTTTTGTTTTGCCGAACGCCTGACCGAACTAAAAAAATCGAATTTGCTTGCAAAAGCAAATGGTTGTTATGTATAATTAAATTTTGTGCAAACCAGCGTGGTAATGAGTTTTTTCTAGAATGTTTTTGTTTTATCAAACCGTAGTATTACTAAGAGTCGTGAAATTCTAAAAAAATTGTTCTTGTATAGTATAATGACGTCCGAGCAAGTGGGAAATATGCCAAATATATACCAGTAATAATATCAGTCAGATAAAAACTTATCAGCTAAAAAGGTGTTCTTCAGTGTCGTATTTCGTAATTAAATGAAATAAAAACTTTTTAATGTGCGTTCATTTATCAGGCCACAACGGCTACTGAAAAGATAATTGCTAAAAAAGATAGGCTATTGTTAAAAATTACAGAGCTCCTAATCTAAAAATGAATTGCGAGTTCGATATAACACTTTTGATAAAAAAAATTATGAAATAATGACCCTGTTTGCAATAAAATTTGTATTCAAAATTTAAAAAAGCTGTTTATGAACGGAAGACCTCTTAAAAAGTGACAATCAAACTCCGGGTGAATACCTAATGAGATAAAAGTATTATTTCTTCTTTATTGCATCACACCGACCAGTATGGTCTGCTTTACTAGAATTTGATGATCGATCAACTTTTCATTTTTGAGGTCTTTGGAAGGTTCCTCGTCTAAAAGAGATCGGGGATATCTTAAAATAGTTATAAAAACACACACAAAAGAAACCCGTTTAATTTGACAGCCAAACAACTCTATCTGTCACGGTTAAATGACAAATTTATAGGGACATCTAATGGACACAAAAGAAAAAGAGAAAAACTGCTTTTATCGACGCCTTTCCCAAACTTTTCGCTCATCTTACACGTTTCCTAGTCTTCCGAAGCATTAATCAAAACGTTTTGACACTTTTGGAAAAAATCGAGGTTAAATTACGTCAATACACCCCCTCTAACTTTAAATTGCACATATCATTATATTGCCTTGAAGTTGAAACAGCGGCATAGGAACTCATGATTTGTTTGTTTTTGTTTAAGTCGTGCGGTATTTTCGTCCCGCTGAGGTCGCTTCGTCTTCGAGCTCTTTCATCTTAGAAAAATCCCTTTGCATAACTTTCTACGCGTATTTTTTCTCTTCCGAGCAAAGTTTCGTGGGCGATGGAAGCTTCCGTCTAAAATCAATCAGTAATGAATAAAGGCCGGCCATTGTTTACAGACTTTTCGTGGCAATTTCTATTATCGAATTAAAAAAAGTGTTTGCAGAACAATCGACGTGAATACGTTTCAAGGCCTGCTTGGCTATTTGCAATGCGCCCACTGTTTTGTTTGTCTGCTGAGACAAAGAAATCACATGTTACTCGAACAATGGGGATACCAGACGAACAGCTTGCTTCGCTTGGTAGCGGAAGATACTTATCATCTTACATACGTAAAAACTGCAGTTAAAATGAGCAAATAAATTTTCGCGGGCCCCCGCTTAGAAAGATATATCTCGAATCCAAGAATCTCCATTACAATCCGCTAACAGTGGAAAAAAAGGCCCGAATTCCTAATTGTCGATTTTTTTGACGCACCTGACGGGGAAAAGAAGCGAAGGCTTTCAGATTCAACAATTATTGTTCAAGAGCCATTTAAAGCTGCGAATCTACTAAATCACTTTTTATGTCAGTACTCCTTACAATTAACACGAATGAACTAAATTTATTACAAGAAAAGTACTCAATAATGACGTCCTTTGAAGCGGTCCTCTAGTCTCCGAGAGAGAGGAAATATACTAAGCAAAAATACACGCTAGTTGTGCGCGCTCAAAAACTTTTAAGGAAGGAATATTTCTGTCTCTCTAACCGGAGTGTCTTATCTCTTGAGAGGATTATCTCATTTTTTTTTTTTTTTTTTTTTTTTTTTTTTTTCTAATGACAGGTACTCTTTCAATTCCTTTTACAAGATTAATTTAGCAAGGTAAACTTCAATGCTATAAGGTACTTAACCGTTTCATGATTGAGATTCGGAGCAATTCCTCGACAACCACACAGGAAAAAGAACGAATCAGTTAAAAAAAACTGTGCAATTTATCAAGAAAGTTCGTTTTCTTTACAAGAAACTTGAAATTAGTTTTGTTGATGAAGAAATGAACATTATCATGCAGCCAACAGCATCCTTACTCCATTGCAACGAAGGCCATGCCTAAAAAACCTCTGTTTTTGCGTTATTATGGTCACATTTTTATTGGACTTTTACCAGCCTAGGGATAGATGTTGGAGATATCTCTGCGTTTGAAAGAATCAGGGTGATTTTCTAATTCAATTTGGACGCTTAATAAATGTAGAGTATAAAGTTGTTTGAATAAAAGCATTGTATCTTTAACGGTCCTGAGTGTTTAATATGAATAATCCACCTGCCCGTGAAACTTCATTTGGGGAAACGACATTTTAATGCTTCTATAAACACGATGTGTATCTTTATTGGGACCTCTCATCATGAATTTTATTCACCGTACATTTTACCTGTACGTTTTCAAAGGCTATTTACATCAATTCTTTCGTAAAAAGTCATGGAGCTTTCACACTGAGGTAATCATCTTTTTGCGTCGGGTTGGACAATAAAATGATTGATCCTTTGCCAAAATTTAGATATTTTTACAATGAATGTACTTGCTTTTGAAAAGCTCTATAGAATGCCTATTTCTGTCTTCATAAGCATTTCAGATGGTGTAAAACCTATCGTATACAAAGGCTATTACCCAATATTCTAAAAGAACGGATATGGAAGAGAAAGGAATAAATACTTTATTTTTGTTTTCGTAGAGATAAAACGAGAGGGAATGTTACTTTGTCAAAGTAATTTTCCAGGCGAATGATTGAGTACAATGCACCACATGTTTGTGGGTTGACTTTGCTAGTCCACACCGGCTGTTTTTGCCCAGTAACAGGCGACCCAACCCACTTTTAACCTTTATTTTTAACAGACTCAGGGGGCGTAGATTTACTTATTAGAATCACCTTGCAATGACGCATATTCTTTTGAAATACGTTACGTACACTTAAGATTTGGGCGCGATAAATTAAGGTGACTTCGTGAGATGGGATGTAAACAGCCCCCGTTCACGCCTCCAAGATGATTTCTTAGTTATAAACCGATAAAGACAAAGATTTTATTGCTGAATTTCTGTCGCCGCTAATTCTTTGATTTGATCAATTTACCCATGAAATCGTTCATTGAAATTAGCTTCCAGGAAAACAGACTCTTACTGAATGTTCCTATCGCATATAGGGAATCGCTATAGATTTCATATGGTCTTCAAAACACCTTTTTATTATATTCAAAGAAAGTTAATTTTAACTATGATAAAAGGTTTGTTTTGAAAACTTTTTTCAATTTCGATAGTAAATGTTGTTATAAATAGCGTCGACCATTTCTTCTTTTTTTTTTAGATGAAAGAGTCTTGATTACTCAACAGTTTCCGATCGAACAATGAAACCACATGTTGAAGGAAGGCTTAACCACGATAACTCACGCTATTAAACTCCCCCTCCGCCTCGCACAATGTAAGTTAAGTTCCGATAAGAGAGCTAATCGAGATCAAGATGTGACTGACATAATCCAAAATTTACGCCATTGATAAAAAGCCGTTAGGTTAAACTTTTGGACACCAAGTGAAGAGTACTGCACAATTCTGGCATTTCTTTTTTTAACCTATCTTGTTTTCATAACTTTTGCCATTCTGCCCATTCGCCGCACATAGGAAATGAGAAACGGAACAAAAAGATACGAAGAGACAATGGCTCTATTACGCAAATGATCTAGCAGTGTAAAGACAGTTAAGTCTTTCAGACGAACAATGAAACAAAAGAGATTACACAAGTAGTCGACAATACAACAAAGCGTTTTGAACAAGACATCTTGCCTTGCAAGGAACTTTTTTCCTAATTCAAAGATTTACTGTAGAAAAAAGTAAAAATAGATGGTTTTACGAAGGTTAGATAAGATAATTAAGATCCAACTAGTCGTATTCCCGTTTCATTCCTAGCACCAGGTAAAGAATATCTGGCAAGATAAGCATTTTTTTCTCATCTGCAAATACTTTAAAAATATTTGAAAGGGAAACTTCAAAAGCCGTAAAGTTTTACAACAAGCTGAATGAATTAACACAACTAAATTGCGTGGTTATATAGTTTCGTCAGACACGAGTCTTGCTTTCTCGATGAGAAAGAGCGAAACGATCGAAGAAACCTCTCAATACTCAATTACATCAAATGATGAGAACAATAAAAACACATGCTATGGGTTATTATCTGAGGTGAGTTAAAAACACAATATAAATACCTCAAGAACGGCCATGTCTGCTTAGTAACCGATCGCGTTCTGAAACTTACACAATAGAATTCGTTGTTTGGCGGTCTATGTAAAAGAATCATTAGAAAAGAAAAGTAAAATAGATATTTATTCTTAAAGCTGTTTTCGAGGTCGACAATCAATTTGAAACGTAGAATTGTGTGCGAAAGAAGCCAATGACACCGTTTTTCTGTAAAGTGATTATTAGAGTTTGGATCTACTGAGCAAAATAGGAAAATTGCGCTCATGAGGCGAAACAAATCACCCTGGATCTTTCACCTTTCCGTCCAGTAAGATCTTATTTGACTAAACTCTTTCCAGCGCTTTGAGTTTCTGTTTTAATAGTTTCTTCCTTTGCTTATACATATTTCTTCAGTTGTAACACTGCAGAAGTACGCATGGCAGTTTTTTTAGAAGATGAATGTTTGGCGTTTCCCAGACCCCATCGTGGAACAGACTGTTCCCCAGACCGTTTCCTCGAGTCGTTCGCGACTCACTCTTAATATTTTATTATTGCATTTTCTTTGCCACCAGCTCGCTTCTGCGTCACAACTTCAGAGAAAGGCGGGGCGGAACTGAATTCACTTTCCAAATTTACCCTCTAATCGCGCATCATTCTGGGTGTTGGTCCAAAGTTTTAACTGCAGCTGAACAGGAGGCTCCTTAACTTTTATTGAAAAGCAGAAACCTATCTGCCAAGTAAAATTCACCAACGCGGTAAATTTTAAAGCGGTCTTTTCCGAAGTAAGAATTTTATCAAAGCAAAATTCCTATGGGGACCGAATGAAAGACTAAGTATAATTTGAAACTAAATTTCTGTAAAAAAATAATGATAGGAATATAAAAATTTAATTAAGCGTAAAGATTAATACTGGATTGCATTGGCTTTTCTTGTCTTTCCTCTGGTGATTGGTCCAATCAGACGCAAAACTGAAATTAATCGCATTGCGCTCACCTTTCCCTCGCTTGATGCGATTAATATGTAATGATTTCTAGTTCTTAATGCCTCTTGTGACCTTTTAATGGTTAAGATTATTTTGAGTTTAGTTTTATATTTAGCAAATTATTCCACTAAGCATGCAATATGAAGATTACGAAATGGGGCGCAGTGCTCTGATTGGTTAGAAAAGTTTAATGGAATAGAGTTATTTTAAATCGAGTGCCAGGATTGCTTTGGTTTTATCTCCTTTGCTTTATGATTAGTTCAGAAAATTTGAGAACTGAAAAGGAAATTTAAAATTTATATTACAAAATCAATAAAGAATTCTTACGTTCTCTATCTCCATGATACACAAAATTGGGCATACGCAGACTTCTGCAAAGTCTCTCAGTTGGCCATAACAACAGTTCCTCGCCCGGGGACACTCTATCGATGGTACGGAAGAAAAAAGACCCTTCGCTCAAGAACACCTCCACATTTTGCTCCTCAGGGCAGCGTGCGAAGTTCATGAAAGGGACCCAAGAAAGATGCCGATCGAAAACCCAGATGAGCTGACCACATTTGTAGGTCACCTGAAACGGATACGGGGGTTAGGCAGGATTTACAAAAGGGCGGGGAGGGGAGGGCGGGGGAGAAGGAGACCTACACCAGCATGTTACTGGCATTATTAGAAGACCAATTTGTTTTGTAATAACTAATCACATTTTCGAGACAAGGAGTGAACCAAATGCACCAATGCCTCCCCCAACCCTCCCCCCCCTCCTACAACTATTGCGTAAGGAGAGTCCAAAAGTTCAGAAAGAACGAAAAGCGACAGACAGGAATTGAAGGCTGTTTGAAAAGATATGATTAATTGATATGAATTTAGTGAAGAAAGCCTCAGTAAACCAATTAAAAATTTAACCCATAGATCTATGATCTTAATGAAGTCTTTGAATGATCATATATGACCAAAGAACCCATTGAATTTAAAGGTTTTTTTCTTTTTAAATTTAACGAAAGCTATAAAACCTATTTTTAAAAGTTCCAAGACCTTGGAAACCTCACACAATTGGGAGGCATATTCCCGTTTTGCTTGTGTTTAGCCGGGGAGGGTGGGGGGGGGGCTAGTTCTCACTGTGAGTCCCTCTACTTCTAAAAGCAGTTTCTACATCTCACCTCAAGGATATAATCCAGGTGTTTATGATCATTCGTTTTCAGGAAAATATTCAACGTCCCCTTATAAGGACCAAATGTCAGAGATGGAGGAATGGGTGATGCGGCGAAAACTCCAGAGTAACGCTGGACTTTTTCCATCTCAGACCAGTGGACAAGATACATTTTGTGACGCGTTATACGGAAACGCACCTGCCAAGTGGAGATGGAAATAGTTGCACAAATAAAAACGATTTCAACAGAAATGGCCATGAAAAACGAAGGAGCAAAATTAGGAGAATTTGATTTATGATTGTAAAAAGTAGAATTCAGAAATTTTTTCAAAGCCTTTGAAAAAAAACCGAACACCGCTAGATCGGTAAAATATAATGAGTTGTTTATTGCAACGGGAATAAAACCCAAAATCTTGTTTTAGTGGGACAGCAAAACATCAAAATGGAGTGAAGAAAGTAATGATAATGGAAATAATTAAAATAAAAGGAAATAATGGGGAAAAGTGAAGTTTAATTTGAATATCAAGCAATTTATGAAATTGAAGGCGTCTCAAGTTTTCAATTTTGACGCACAAGTGGTGACGTGGCTACTGTCAGTAAGTTTACAGCCCTCGTCAATGACGTGATCATGGCTAAAAAGGTTAGCTATAGGCTGCCACAAACAGTCTTACAGTCAAGTGGTAAATAACGTTTTCGAGGCCTGTGTGACTGAAGAACGACATAATGATAATAATTTGCTTTGCGATAAGATTGCAACTAATAAATCTAACGAAATCTTGCAAGATTTCAACCCAAAGATTTTTACATTTGAGTTGTTTAACAATGAGTATTCAAGACTATACTTTGGTAATGAGTTTTGTGGCAGTTGTTGTGAATGGGGCTGATGACAAAACAAAGTTTTAGGGGCGACACATCATGATTCTTGCTTTGCTGAAGTTTCTTAAATATCAAGTAAAGGGAAACTAAGAAAAAATATAATGACTTGGTTTTATGAACTGCCTGAGGTAGAATTAAATTTGTCACACACCAGACGATCTGTCATTTAAGCCTTAATATTTTGAACATTAGAGTTATCTCTGAAAAATTTATCGTGGATAAGTCTCGCGTATTAACCAAAAAAAAGCATTCTAGAATACCTGGTGCTGAAACGAAAAGTTAACACTCTTGCTCTTCTGAACAGTAAAAAGATCTTTTTTTCTTCGTAAGAATAACAAATCACAATTTTTTTCTTTTCATGGGGAAGCAAAATACGCGTCTGCGTTTAACGTCAATGATTTTTTTTATACTTTTTTCTTCTTCCCTTGATTATTTTAGCTTGAATTAAAATGCGAAACAAAACGTCCAGAGGAAAAACTGCAAACCTTAGACAATTATCAAGCTTTTGTGATTTTGAAAGTTAAACTGAATGACAGAAGATAGCAAAGGAAGCCGTGCTTTATTTCACGGCGCGCATTAGTTTTTTTTTTATGTTTTTTTTTTTATTTTTCTCATTTGGGAAAAATCGTGTTTTTTCTCTTTTTTCTGTATACACCTGTATCACTCTCGCAGAAACTTCATCACTTAGGGAAAAAAATTGTCCATTTTTTAAATTCGGAAATCGGGTTTTCTTTTTCTTAACAAGAAAATCCGAGTACATTTTCAGCTTAAAAGATCATACCTTTTAACTACATTTAAATTGCATGAAGGAAGACCTTATTGCGGGATTACGTATTTTTGTCCAAGATAGTCTTCTTTAAAGATATATCACTTCAATGTTGTGTAGCAAATTGTATCTTGCGTCCGCAGAGATTTCCCAGCAAGGAAAAACACAAGACGCAGAAAGCTACTCACCCAAGAAAATGAATGATCTTTTGACTGCTTTCGAGAAGCGCTACCTGCCGGCGACGAGTGGATCGACTCAGTCTAAACAAACAGGACCTAACATCGCACTGGCTTTTTAACAATCCCTGTAAATTTCCACCTGCCAAGCGTATTAATAACTGTTTGAAAAACACCCTCATTTCACGCTTTCTGCAAATCAAACAAGAGATATTGCCGGATACGCTGAATTAACATCTTAAAAGCATGCAATTTCCTCGGTGGCCGCGATGACTCGAGCTTGACAATCCTGTCAGGGTGAGAACTGTGATTCGATTTCACAATCTGCGCCACTAACTTCTCGTGTTTCATCTTTCAACTAACGAGCGAGATATTTTTAACGAAAAAATTGACAGGTATTTTATAAATCTGAAAGAAATGTACGCTCTCACTAATCTAGTACCAGTTTAAAAAACCAAAAATATTAAGTAAATAATTCTCCGATAAATAGATTCGCTATTGGTTAGAAATAGGGCTTGTTTAATTCGTAGACAATGGTATGGCTTTACAGTAATAATGTTGCACTTTTTTCCAATATTCGTACTGTTCAAACAAAGAGTTGAATAAGAGATACGTGTTACAAAATCATTTTTCCGCACTGAGTAGTTGCCTTTTTTTGTCGAATGTGACAAAAACAACAAATTCTTACATCACATATTCAGCATGTACATGTCTGCATAACGCCTTCCGTCTCCCTTGTTTAACGGTTCGATTCCAACACAGTTTTTAAATGATTTGTTATAATTTTGTTTTTCATCAAAGTCAAATTCATTATTGAGTTTTACCTTCAAACCAACTCGCGCTAAGCAAGCAGCTGTTATTCCGTTTCCTATAGTTAAACTTTTTCATTAAAACTTTTAAATTGACGCACAAAACTCTTCTAATTAAAGCAAACCCCACAAAAAGCAAAGGAAATGGATTCAGTTGAGCGAATGTTTAATCCAATTATCTCAAACTTTGTGCGGATTTCGAGTGGATTCAGTTTTCTTCAAAAGTCCGCTTGTCGAACCAAGAGGAAAAACCTGCTTATTAAAGCAGGTAAAACAAAAAGCATTTTCAACGCCACTGGTTTTTCGTAGTGTACAACTAATTTCATCTTAGGTTGTTTGTTAACGTTGTTTGCTTAGAGACTGTTCTGATTTCTATAAAAGATTGGCCTCCCCATCGATCATGAAAACCTTTTTGTGGCCTTGAAATCTTTTAAAATTTTTTATCTGACTTTCAACTTTAAATCTATTGTACAATTTTTCCCGAATAAAAAGGCGAGCAGCTGTCTACATGAAAGAAACGCAAACGAAACTAAAAACTTCGTTCTCTGACCCAATTAGCGACACAAGGGGCTGAGTAAAATTCGCAATGGACAGTTAAAATGGAAAGTGTTCCCGAACCAAATAGAAATCGCTTATCTGTGTTTGTTGTTTGGTCAAAAAGTAAACTTAGTTCCTTTCCTCTTGTTTTAGCTTGACACTTTTCGTTTAATTTCCTATGCAAGTAAATTTAAACAGTGCTTATTGAGCGGAAGGGCAGTATATGTGTAATCGAGAAAGCGACCAAGCAGAAATTCAAACGAAATGTTAAGTTGTGTGAATTAAGGTTGATTTGTAAATGTACTCGGTGGTTTTTACAGGGAATTCCATTCAACGAAGGTTTTTATGCTCTTCATCCAAAGCCATGAAGTAAAAAACTGTTTTCTAACTCAGACCTGAAAAGGCAAGGGCAAAAAAGTAATTTTATGTAATCTGACATTCTAGGAAAGCAAGAGAAGTTTCTGTAATTTTGGTACTGAATCGAACTGAACGCTATTTAGAAAGTAGAAAAGACAGGGTTTGTACGAGAGTTAAAATTGGTATATTTCTGTGAGTGGTTCATAATAATCACTCCGTCCTCTCAACCAATCAGATTCAAAATTAAACTAACCACGACTTGCTCGTTCGTCTTTTCCCGCGCCAAAAGCCGTTTAATTGTTTTCAATTTGAATCCACAAGGTTTGAGAAAAAATAATGGGGCGGGAGGACAAGGTTTTATTGATTGGCTTGGTTGATTATGTTGGTTAATTTTTTCAATACTCAGTCAGTATAAGTCAGTATGTGCTCAGTCTACTCAAGTTCCATCGAGAGAGGTTCGATTGCTCTTCATTTCTCTTCAGGATCATTCATGAGTGTCCCTTAATCAGACCAGATGCATATCTACAAGCGCTCGAGATAGTGTAACGTGGGCTCGCTCTCCATAAGGTTTTCACTCTTATTTCACATGAGAACTTCATACGTTTGTGAAATTACTATGTCAGTAGGGCATGTGTAAAGAATTTGAACTGACAGCAGGTGAAAATCGTCATCTCTTCAAAACGATGTTTTGACGAGCTTCTCGAATTTGAAGCCCACATTTAAAGGACATGGACTTACGCTGTTTCTTTAGAGCCGTTAGTCTCGAAGATTTTTATCACTAAAAATCAGCATGGTGCAGGAATTATGCTGAGTTGATGCTTACCTTTGTGTAAGCAAATGATTACTGGCAGCATTTTCTCGGTTGCGTAGAAGTAAATTGACTTGCCCTAGGTATAAAGTAGGTAATTGGAAGAATCCCACCGGAAAAGTAATAGAAAGATAGAATTTTGAGGTTGGAAAATACGAACAGCTACGCAAGGTAGAGATCCGGTGCGTGATAGTCAAATCGTGATGTTGGATAACACAATCCATTTTGAAAGAGCCTTAGAAGTTTAAAGCGAAAAAGTTTTGGATGTTTTCTTGGTCTTCGCAGCCTTTCGCTCGCTTTATTTGTGAAACAACGGAAAACACCATCCTAATATGATGAAGATCTTTCAATGTGTGTTTATCGTTTTTCTGTTTTATGCACTGATTAAAAAAAAGAAACCGGTTAAAAAACGATTTGAAAACCTTAATTCACCTGAGTTTCGCACGTCAGGGAATAAAAACAATTAGAATTAAACTAAACTATGGATAGTGCTGAGGGCCGCTCTGATTGGCCACTTAAACTCCGAATACCCTTTGTCAGTATATATGCTTAAACAGTGGATGGTGTTGAAGGCGCACGCTGATTGGCTACTCAAACTCCGAAAATCCCATGGCAAGGTAATTTGGTATTATCGACTGTGTTTTGTTGATAATGTAAATTGGTCACTGTTAAGAGTTTCAAAGCTGACGTTTCGAGCGTTAGCCCTTCGTCAGAGCAAATAGAGGGATTGTGGGTTGAGTGTATGTTTATATGCAGACAATGGAGCTACACTATTGGTGGGAACATGGTAACGAGAAAAGAAGAGTAAATTAGTTGTATGAAATGCGTTTGTTGTTAGTATGTACTAAAAAAGAAGGTAAGTGTCGTAGACGCGCTCTGATTGGCTACTAAAACTCCCAATATCCTTTGCTATTCACTTCCGAGCAACACGCGCGGGACTTGCGTTAGAAAATATTCCAATCGTTGCAGGAACAAATGAGTTGAAGTCGTCTTTTAGTACTTTTTTGGCTCACTGTTTCAGTATATACTAAAACAAATATTCACCTCACTATTGATGGCTAATGGTAGATATTTACCTCGCCGCTTCACAAAAAAAATCTTTCTTTTTTTTTTACCGAGCTTAAAACTCACCATCTTCCTTATTCTATTTACAACAGTAAACGATGTCGAGGATTGGTAATCGATTCGCAGTGACGGCAAATGACATCTAATGACGGCAAATGACGTGTAACGATGGCAGTTGTGTGTGAGGGTGAATGATGGGTAGGGATATGATGTCTAGCGACATAAAATGATATCTGGTGGCCATAAATGATATGTTGTGACGGTAAATATTGTCTAACGACAGTAAATCAAAATTAATGACGAAAACTGATGTGAGGTGTATAGTGATGATTAAAGAAATCTGGTGACGGTCAATAATGTGTAATGACGGTAAATAATGTCTCGCGACAATAAATGATATCTTGTGCGAGGAAGTGAGATGTAGCGATAATAAATGATGTAAGTGACGAAAAATGGTGTGCAGCGACGGAAAATGATATCTAGTGACGGCAAATGATGTCAATTAACAGTGAATGATATTTAGCCTCAGTAGGTGACACAATAGATGACCTAGCCACAATGTAGCCACGATAGATGACATCTAGTGACATTTAGTGACATTATCTGTTCCTCGAAGCTCGGGACAGATATATTAACGTCCTCAGACAAATATCCATGCATATTTTCGCACCAAATGGAGGCTATTGTTTAGATATAAATAAATCCGGTTATCCTCAACAACAAAATCGAAAAGTGGAAAATTCGATCAATCAATTACTCTATGCGTGCTTGATGGACATGATATTGATTATCGCCAAATTATATCATCGCGCCCTCTACCGAGGCTGACTGCGCAAAGCGCAATAATCCCGCGCCTGTGCTTGGCTTTGTAGTCGTATCTAGGTCCCCGCGGCCAATTTGATGATGCCTGGCAACAAATGTATCGATACCTTCGTTAACTTTTTCTCAGGTTTGAAGACTCCATCGCGAACAGGGTTTGTTGAATATGGCGGAAGGTTCTTCAGCGAGTTGTGATCTTGACGACGACAATGGTAATCTGTTAACTCACTGTACTGATCAGTAAACGTTTCAGAAAATTTAGTATCAATCATGTTAATTAATTTTTGTAAGATTCCCGACTTAAAAATTCGCCAAGTTCGTAATTATTCATAAATAACAGGAAAGCTGTCCAGCTTTCCTGTTACTAATTAAACAATTAGAATAATTATTAAACGAATAATAATAATAAGTAACAGGAAAGTTGTATAACTTTCCTGTTTTATTTTTTAAGCAATTATGTACCACATATATAAAGATTTAGCTGAAAACGTGTTGTGGATTCTTGAAAGGTGCGTTACATTGATTTAAGAAATTGGAACTACAAAAATTGTTTATTCGTTTGGTCGTCTAAAATTTTTGTCGGAGAAACACAAGGTCAAATACTTATGATAGTATCAATTTGTGGAAACTATTTTGAATACTGCTCTGTGACTTTCGTCAAAATTTTACCCTCAGATGTCCCTCCACTGGAAGACATGTCAGAACTGATCAATCAAGTCAACAATTTACGAGAAAATGTGACAGCTAAACCTTCGTGTGATCAATCGGTAACTGCAAACACACAGCCAAAGAAGAAGACAGTATCTTCTGCTCAGGTAGTCTTTTAGAAGATTTTATTTAACCCTTCAATTTCCATGAGTGACCAAGAAAGATTTCTGTTTACAACATCAATACAATATCAAACACCAATTGACAAGAATAAAGAAAGATATCAATTGGGGGATTATTAGTTGATCCAATAAGAAATCCCCCAAACTGACACCATCAGAACTTTATGAGAGACAGTAAGAGGAATTAATGATGAGATCTTAGGAGTGAAAAGGTTAATGTGTGCCTTGGTGATAAGGGTTTAATTTATGTTTTGGCCCTTTTATAGCTCCATAGTTTTGCTTGCTGAACTGTGTACTGGGAAGAGTGATATTAAATTGTAAACAATATTTTTAAACAATTAACTGTGGATGACTATAACTTGTGTTGCTTGTGATGCTTGTTATAGGGTCTCAAGTCTGCTCAAAATGAGAAGACATTTGGTGGATTCAAGAAAGGCTTTTTGATGAATTCAAAACCTAAAAAGGAAACCTCCAACGCTTCATTAAAACCTTTGAAAAAAGACACTGATATTCCGGTCATCAAAGCCAGAAATCCAGAGCAAAAGGGGATGGAAATTCCAGAAGTTCAAGAGGCAATGAAATCTAGTGGCAAACCAAGCTTGGAAGGCAAAGGTCTGGTCAGTTAGTTACCAAGGGTGACTAACATACAATTTCTCCTCACAATATCATCCTTGAATCATACATGTAGGTCATGGGAATAAAGGAAATGATCACCTACTAAAGAAGCTCTTGACTGTTAAAACAAATTCTCCCTGTTAACACCATAGGAACAGTATGAAGAATATTCACACTGATGCTAGGCTATTAAGGGTTAATAGACTTCAGATGCCTGCTAATAATTTCAACCCATAATCTTGGCTCCTTTCTTGGTATATACCCTGTCTTGGTTATAGCTGTCTATTCCACAATCAGCATCCATTTATGATAAAAATTGAGTGAAACCTCTTCTTCCCTGTTAATGAAAATATCCAAGCACATGTATTTTTTGGTTCATGGGACAGGGGGCTCAATAGAAAGATGCCTCTGTGAGAAGGGTACAGACATGGATATTTTCTGAAACAACAGCAAGAGGAAGAATGGGCTGTGTTTTAAAAAAGGCATGAAAATCTTGAAAGATTATAGATATTAATGACTGAGTAACAAATACAAAACATTCCCTTTCTGTTACTGCCAAGATCACTTCTGCACCATACAAATTGTACTGAGGTTGTATTAGTGAAGTGAGTTTATAAAATCAATGTTCTCTTCATTAAAATAAGTAATTGTTTTTGTCAACTCTAGACTGGATTACAGAGGATCTTTTGAAAAAAGTTGAGCGCAATCCTGCTCTGGCCAACAAGCTGACAGATCCTAAGTTTAGAGCAATTCTGGAACAAGTGGGCACAGATCCTTTGAAAGCATTGTCCATGATTGGAAAGGACCCAGAAATGCAGAAAGTTATGCAGGAGTTCAGTGGATTGATGGGAGAGTACTTCACTACTCTTGGAGATTCCATGGCTCAAGGGGTGAGTGTCTTGCCTGGGTAGATTGTTTCTAAAGTTTCCTTTCCCCTTATTACATTCAAAAGAGAAAAAACAGTTTCAATTACTAGGACAGAATAAATTTGGTAGCACAAATGAGACATGATTTCCTTGTTATGATCTTTTTAACTGCTACGCTTGTCAGAAGTCTCACTCTTTTACCTGTTACAAATTATACTAGATCTCTTACTTGTCCCCTCCCTCTTCTCAGTGTTATCTGTTGCTGCTTCCAGTGAGGAGGAATTTAGTTTTTGGTAGGTTACCTCCTCCCTTGTGATTTGTTGAACTGCTATGGAACACCAGTACCAGGAACCAAGGTCCCTGGTCCTTTAAACCTTTTCACACACCCTAACATACTTATATTCCACGCTGTTTTCTATGCATTTCCCTAAGTGCTGATAAGGAGAATTTGTTCAACAAACACGAGCCTTTTTAGTTGGTTATCGTCTTCTTCATTCTCGTGACCTTAATGTTCGATTCAGAGATGATATGTAAGGAGAAATTAGATATTAGTCACTCTCATGGGTCTAAAGATCAATGAAGGACAACGATCATGATCTCAGCAAGGACTCAGACCTGAATATTTCCACCCAGGATCCAACACACTGATGATTGGTTTACTCTTTCTGATATTTACCCATGCTTCCCTTGATGCATTCAAACCAAATGGATTTTAAAGAATTAGTAGCCATGGGCTCTATGTAGATTTTTTTCCTTTGAAATTGTCTATAAGTCAAGGAAAATGAACATAATTTTCAACCCTACCATTATCACATTTTTTGTTTGCACTTTTTGTCATGTGGTGACATGTTTGCATGGTTAGTGCGAGGTAAAATTTTCCTTGTTTGCTACTTTGTTTTGCACAGCTGTATACTGTGTTTTAAAATTTTTTACCAAAGACATCAGCCAATGCTTCCAAGACACAAGGAAGTGATATTGGCCTGACAGAGAGATCAAGTACAAGACAACAGACAGCTGTACCTCCCTCCCAAGAGGATGAGGCTAAAATGCGAGATATTTTATCAGACCCAGAAGTGATGAAAGTACTTCAAGATCATCAAATACAGAGATTATTAACCATGATGAAAACCAACCCAGAGGCAGCACAATTGTGAGTTGTGTTACAAGAATTGACTAATTGTTTATGGTTCAGTAAGATCTTTCAAGTAAAACAGATACCATGGGGGTGAACAAAAATTCTGAGATGCTAATTCTTTTGCCCAGGAGAACAAATTACCTTTTTTGGTCTTATTAAAAAGGATCTCATTAATGACAGTTCAGAGACCTGGTAAGCAGGTCACAATGAAACCATGGACTTCATTTCACCTGATCATCTTTTTATCCTTTAGACCAGGCTGTTTGAACCCTTGGGAATTTTAAATGACTTGGTTCCACTGTAATATATTAGGTGACAACTAGAGTCCAAGTCATGCCAGGGTTAAATCTTTATACAGACTTCCTTCTCAGTTTGTTTGAGACTGCCCCCCCCCTCCACTTATTCCCCAAGAGCTACAATCTAATCAGAATTCAGTATACCCATAGTATGCAGTAATTATAGTTACTCTTAAAACTCACATTTACTCATAGATTAAGAGGGGGGTGGTAATTTCTTGATTGCAGCTAAATTGTGTGAAGTATTTCTCTTCTAGTAGATAATCTTCAGGGACATATCTAGTGGAAAACTTTTGCAATTGATACAGGTCATATTTCACCTCCAAGCTGATGGGTCATAATTGTGAACAGTTCTTTGTATTTATAATGTTAATCTCACTTTTCTTTCTACAGGGAAGTTAACAGAGCCACTCCAGAAATGAGGGTAAAGTTACAAAAACTGGTGGAAGTGGGGCTGTTAGGCTTTGCCCGGTGACCTAAAATTCCTGGTGCTTAACTCAAGATATAAGTATCAAAAGAGCAAAAGAAAATTAGATCATCAAGCTTAAATATTACCACATGGCTCAATCAACCACACTAGTGTACAAACACAATCTTGTGGATAGTGTAATATTGATGGTTACAAAGCACTTGATCAATTCTGCAATTCATCTTACCTTTACAAATCCCCTCACTACTCAGGTTGCCAAGGAAAACTGCTTTGACAACAGGTTTTTTTTTTTTTCCTTTCCACTCTCATTAGCAAAACAACAGATGCCCTCTAGAGTGCATCATAGGAGAAAGACTATGAGAAAAGTTATTTAGAAAGAAAAAGTCCTTTTCAAAAGCTAGTTGTATCTTAACAAATTGTTCTTCTGCAACACTCCTCCATGGTCATAATGCAATTGATCAGGTTACAAGTTTAACAATAGTTAGCATGGGAAGTAAGCCAAGTTTGCATAATGACTTTGATACAGAGAGCTACTTATAAAGACAGTATGAAGTCTACTATTTGTGACCAGGGGCTCATAACATTGTAGAGGTTATGTTGCTCTGTTGTTACTGAATGGGTTTGTGAGTTTATTTGTTTTTTTGTTTTGTTTTTTTTAACTGAGAGTTTCACTCTTTCTATTTAAACACAAACTGGTAGAAGACAAAAATAGAGAGGCAACAAACTGAAGTATGTGTTCACAATGTAACAACCTTCAAGTTGATAATATAGTTTGGATTGAAGCATCATGGAATATATTGATTCTTCTTTTATCATCAATAATAAAGAAGAAATATTATCACAGGGGCTCTCTCTTCAAGAGGGTTTGTTGATAGCTGCTGATGCTCCATAACAATGAAAACTTGAAATGAAATCTCTGTACACTGAATATTTAGCTCTCATAGCATCTGTATCACCAATGCCTTGAAGGTAAACACAATTTTCATCAATCTCTTTAAACACTATTTCTGGCTGCTAACAACACTAACACAGGTAAAAGCAAAGTCAAAGTTGCCATTATTGAGCATTCTAGTGACTTTTACTTTGCATCACATCCAAAATTACAGGTAAGATTTACAGAGAATATATTCAAACAATTAACATGACACAGGGCTGTATACTTCAACTAATTTTATAACATAGCTAGTAAATTTGTCTAATCAAATTCAATTGCACAAGCGTGCTTCATATTCCTATTGTGCACGCTCATGACGTCAGCAAACAAATCCCTCAAGCAAAAAAATTTTCCATGGGGTTGAAAATGTTATAAAACAATTGGTTCATGCATCAGCTATGCGTTCATCGAGATATGAAGCACTTGGGAAGTTTGGAGAGCACTCAAGAAGCTAGAGTTGCTTTGGGTACGCCTCAAGCAACTCTTACGCATCTTTCATGCTCTCCAAACGTCCCGTGTGCTTCATATCTTGATGAACACATGCTGATGTATGAACCAATTGTTAACTGCAGCTCAATGTTACTCAGAATAGTCATTACATGTCCCTCCAAAATCAATCATGATGTCAAAAGTGTGATGCGCATACAAGACTAGCAGCAATGTTTATTTTGTCCATTTGTGATGTCTTGCATTCAAGAAACTCTGAGAGAGAACTCTTATGGTTTTAAACAATAATTCCCAGTAGATATCATGGCCAGTTGATCATCCTGTATTATGTTAAGTGAATTAAAGTGCTTTCCCCAATATTTACTGTTTCTGATTCCTTGTGAGTGATTCTTGTTTTATTTTGTAATCATTCAATGCAGCCTTGATAGCATCCTCTGCAAGCACTGAAAAAAGGAATTTTTGTCCATTATTGAACCTGCACAACTCCTTGAAGAATAACTACATCTGATTCAATCTTATTATAGAAATTATGATCATAAATTTTCTTTGTAAAAGACCTTCCATGAAAATGTAGGGTAACTTTAATACATCAGGGTAAGCAAGTCATCGTAGAATCTTTTGTAACAAACTTTTGTTGGCTGGATGGTGCTTACATGAAGGGTTTAAAGCAGCAGCACAAACTTACTTGAACAGTGAAGTTTCACAGGTGGAAGAGACAGCTCCTTTGCAATCTCTGTGTTCTTGATATCTTTAGCATCAGTTATCTAGAACACAAGAACATCAAATATCTATAACAGACTGAGGATACCTCTTAAAAAGATAAAAAGAATGATGGAAAAATAAAATAAAATTTGGGCCTATTTGTCATAGGTTTATAACCTTCTAGACAAATGCCACAGTTCACTTAGTTCATTTTATTAGATAGAAATGGGTTCCCTTACCATTTTTCCTTTCACCCATTCAGTGGCAAGGGAACTTGAAGCAATGGCTGAACCACATCCAAATGTCTTGAACTTGGCATCCACAATTTTACCATTTTCATCCACCCTGATCTGAAGAAATCAGCTCTTTGTTAAGATTTACAATGCAAATACCAATATATTCCCTATGAAATGATCACAAGGTTTCTCATTTATGGGTTCATTAGAAGCAAATTACACGATTGTGAGGGCCCATAAAAATGTCAATTATGAAACACAATTTCACTGTCTGCAACCAGAAAAGAAAAACATAAGCCATCATGCTGAAAGCCATCAACCTCATTTGCAACATGTGTTACTGCATTCTTTGGCTCAACAATACATTTTACAACATTATTTTCATTCAAAATGATACACTCCTGACTTGAGCTTAGATATCTCTTATACATCTCTTATCTATCTTCTGAACAAGGAAAGTATCATTATGTTCCCTAGATAATTTTGGATTACAAACAGTTGCTCAGTGTGTGTCTGAGAATGTATGTTTGTTTGAACTTACAAAAATCAATGACCAACCTGAAGTTTCATGACATCTCCACAAGCTGGAGCTCCAACAAGTCCAGTGCCAACATTGGCATCATCCTTATCCATGGATCCAACATTCCTTGGGTTTTCATAATGGTCAATTACCTAGTGAACATGCAAAAGGAAAATATGTCAAAAGTCTATGAGCCAGAGCTGCCTACAAGGTACATCTTAACCCCGGGGTAAGTGCTCATCGGCCTTTGCACAACTGGGCCCTGTTGCATAAATTAAATAACTAATAAGACGTTTTGGAGTGTAGTGTCATTGAGTATTTTTGTGTACTCAATGTTTATACAGCACAGCTCAGCGATACTGTACACTAAAACGTCCAATAAAATTTATCTACGCTGGCACTTAAATGTATAAATCCATGAAAATAATAAAAAAATCCCATCAACAACACATTATACTTAAAGGAAACTGTAAAAGTTACAGTCAGTAGGGAGAATTTTCTTGAAAAGTTCAAGAAAAATGATGTTGAGTCATTTAAAGACGTACTTGATCACACGTGAGCAAAAACGTGACTAACAAAACAAGCAAAACAATTTGATGTTGGCACCTTCAGAACTCACGCAGCACTCGACAATTTTCTCAGTCGTAACGATAGAACATCTTAAACTAGCAGCCTTTTAATTCCGTTAACAACAACAAGATTGACCAAATACAAATCTAATCACAGCCTGGGAAAAGGGAAAAGCTGTGGGAACCTAAGCAATGTCGACATTTCATGGTCGCGTCCGATTAGCATGTGAACTATAAACAGCTTGCTAAACTCATTTTTCACACCGCATCTAGCGTCCAAAGGCAAGATAAAGGACGCAACTTACATTCTTGTGATAGGCTGCAGCAGCAGCCCCAACCTGTTTACCTAATCCTGTCCTTGCTACGTTTTTCAGACCCTGGGTGAAAAGAGCCATCTTCATCAGTTATGCAAGACTCCGATAATGTCAATGTATACCCCGTAATAGTCTTTCTCAGTGACGCAACAAATGTATCAGAAGCCGCGGGATCCGAAACCGCGGGCGCGCAAGAGCTGTCTCGCTTCCAATCCCGGTCACTCTGATGTCTCGCGCACAATCGACTCGCGCCTAGTTGATTAGATTGTGACGTACCTTACTCTCCATTGATAGGTCATTTCTTCTGCACTAAAACAGTTGTGCACCAGCAGGTGGCGCACGAGATTCCCACACAACGAGGGCAGCGATTTTTTGCAATGACAGCATACAAAAAAGCCAAATTGGGTCATTTTCTCTCCATTGATCTCCTGCTTTTTTGCGCTGTTCCGTATCAAAAATGCTAAAGCCGGGTGAGGTCCGATAATTTGGTTATTCTTTCACAATTATTTTCTCACTCGTAAAGCTATGAAACGGACATCAGCTCATGAAAGTTGGTTCAAGATACGCGAAACCTTCAAATTTCTCAGTTTTGATCTGTCATCAGTGGAAGTACTATACCGAGTTTACGACACATATTTAGTCGGGTTGAGATATTTAGATTTTCACTGAAGCACATCAAAAATTCAACGCGAGAGTGGGAACAGGAGCACTCAAAAAGTGGTAAGTCAGTTAATATGGACGACTTATGGTACCCATACATTCAGGAATCTAAGTAGAAAGTAGCTTCTGAGCATGCTCTCATTATGAGGCCGGCAGGACACGCGTCTCAGCCCGCAGGGAGACCTGAAACAAGTCAGCAGAGGCTTAGCCCCTCGCAAACCCCCGCTGGTTGGCGTTGCTCAGGGTTTAATCTCCTGGTTTAATATTTTGAAGACAAGCTCGTGCGGAGCGCTAATGATGACCCAAGTAGGAAACAGACTTAACCTTGAGTCATTCTGGGATGACAAAACGCCCAGGGTAATCCATGACCTTCCGTAACTTTTTCCCTTATGCCCCTGAATTTTTCACGTGGCAATTAATCCGAGACTGGAGCTTCTACAGAGGTTGAATATTAAGGTCTCCCTATTTAGCACCAGTAGAATGACATCAGTCTCCAACGCCCAGCGATTCAAAGATCAACTAGTGCTAACCAAAGGTTAAATTGTAATCCAGAATTCTCTATTCCTTTGGGCAAAAGCCTTTTTGGAATACTTTTCTCTCTTCTTTTTAGAGCACCAAGTAATCAAATCTTACACATAGAGAGCAATACTGAATTTATTGTTCAAGCCTTCAGATCTAAAATCAGATTCCACACGCAGCTTAGAGCAACCCAGCCCGGGGTGATAAAAAAAATTAATACCAAACGCTGGAAAGGGAAGTTGGTTGTTTTCTCGAGCAATCTAAATCTCAGCCATCAAAATAACATGAACACTGTAAGAACGTTGAATTTTTATTTCTGCTGTCTCAAGATGGTCACATTAGTGACCATAGTTTTCCAGCACTTCATTTAAAGACTTCAGCTCCTCAGCCTTGTTCTGCAAGGCCTTCTGTTTCAGTTTCTGAAAGAAAAGGAAAGGAAAAGTGTTATGGACTGAATACTACTCTTTGGTGTAGGCTTGCCAGAAACACGCAACCATCATCTTCATCATCAACTGAGTCAAACTGTTGGTGGAGTGATGAATGATAGTAAAATGGGGACAAGATAAACAGAACTTGACTCAACTTATTACCAACCAAGATCTTGGACTAATTCTCCTCAATATCACCCAAGCATTTCTTACAATGTTAGTTCTGAGAATTTGACTTTCAAAACAATACCTCAGTCTTTCTTGTCTACGATTAATTGACATTTTTAGGAGGAATAGTGATTCCTCACCACTGAAGACAAAAGTTCTATATTAGTTGATAAATAGATTTGGTTGATTCCTTATTCTGCATCTTACCTCAACTTTCTTCTTGTGTTCATAGTAAACAGCAGCTTTAGCTTTACGCTTTTCTTCAAGGGTTTCCAGGACATCCTGAGAACACAGATATACTGAATTAATACAAATAATTTGTTTCTTCGTGCCTCAACAAACATTCTGCCCCTAAAACATTGGATGGCCCCAGTTGCTGTTGTTGCACTGTAAGAGTCAGTGCTCTCAACAAAAGCCACTGGTACCATAAAACTGCCAGCTAGACTGCCAAAAAATTATGCATTTCTGATTGGCTGAAACAAGTGTATATTTCATGTGACACAAGAGCAAAGTTGTAACACAAGTGCAAATTACAAATAGCATGCGCACTGTCAAAATTTTGTCTGTTTTTACTTTCTGTTATGCTTTTTCCTTGTAAATTATTAATAGGTGATAACATGATGTCTTGTGCAATTTGGGGTAAATAAGCACTTGCCAATTTTTCAGACTACAAACTGCACTCACCCTACAGGTTCATGCAGTTTTGTTGACTTTGAAAAATTTACTCAAGCTAATTAACACTAAATTGCACCCTAAATCATGTTATTTACCTACACAAACATCATAGAATTACTAAAATACCGTTAAAGAAATGTGTATAGAAGCAATTTCCCAGTTTGAGTAGAACTGATTGCATTGTTTACCATAAACAGGTTTGGATGTGTAAGTCAACTCCACACTCAGAATTTGTTGAAGTATGTAACTCAAGGTTCATGTAAGGAGTAAAAGAATTTAAATGGTTTATACTAAAACATGTCAAGAGGGCAACAAACCTTGTACTTCCAGCCAACCTCATGAGACAGTCTACCAAGCACACAGTACTAAAGTGTGGATGAAAAACTAAAATAAATCACTTAAACCTAGTCAAAAAGTATTAAAAAACTAGCCAAAAACAATTAGACCTTTACCTACCACACTACACTTACATAAACATTACAGTACTGCTTAATACAGTGCCCCTTTATACAGGTTCAATCATGTTAACATTTTCCCAGACTTCAATTAAAGTTCACTAACTTCCCCTGACCTTGACGAATTTCTCTACCTTTCTCCTAACCTATTCTTGACGTGTAACAACTCACTTGCAGTGCACCAAAGTATCTTACCTTCCTTCCTGGCTTGAGACGGACAACTCTCAGAGCTGAAGGAACCACCATTCGCTTTTCCTATGAAATGATTACAGTAGAAAAACAAAAAAGAATGCCTAAATGAAATAAGATCACCTGAAAATCTGACCATGTGTAATTGTTACAAAATGGCAAAACATTGCCTTGATAAAAAGATGTTTGATTTCAAAATTCGTCCACAAAAATCAAACTACTTTAAATTCTCCTTTCTCCATCAACTTAGCCATTTGTCACAGCAACAATAGCTATGACAATAACCTTATTTTAAAAAGCTTAGAGTAGATAATTCATCTGCATGTTGAAAACTGTTGTAAAACAGTATGAGCAACATTACTTACCTTGTCATATGGAGTAGGCACACCATCATATACTTTAAGACGATTCATTGCCTCTGTTCCTCTCTTACTCTTGTGTGGGATCATTCCTATACAAATACAAGACATCAACTCAACTCTAGTATTTGCTAATGCAATTTTGTACTGTTACCATGAAGAACTCTCTAAAGCACACCAACAAATTATCAATCCATGGATAAAACAGGAGTGAGTTTTAAGGTAGTCTTAGGGACCAAATATGTATACTAACCTCTCACTGTTCTCCAGACAATTCTGCTTGGAGCACGGAAATGAAAAGGTCCCCTGCTAGGTTTGGTGTTAGTTCGCTTGCGAAGGAAATCAAGATACTTCACTGAAATAAACAACAGAACACAACGTCAATCATTCACCCAACAACGTCAAAGTAGTATATTCAGATAATTTGACAACAAATTTTCTTGAGTACCACAACTTTTCATGCAAAAGTTTCAATTTAAATGAAATTTTATTCAAAGCAACTAACAATAACTTGTGATGTAACATTTTCTTATGCTGTGCACTCAATCCTAAGAAATAGACCTGGATACTAACAGGATATTACCAGGTCCTGAAGTAAATTACTCTTCAATAATCTATTGCTGTGAGGTAACTAGGAGAAAAGACACTGGTTTGAAAACAGCACTCAGAAGTAATTGCCTTACAAATACCACTTACACTTGTTCCTGTAGAAGCTGCCACTGATGTTGACTTGTTCACATCGTACAACAACTATTCTTTGCCCTGTGCAAAAAGACATAGGTTTAATTGCTTTCTACGAACTCTCAATGAAAGATGATTCATACCTGGGTCATTACACAATGAAAATGACTCCAACAGAAAATTGAAGCTGACAGCTTGGAATGACTCAGTGTTCTAGTTTTGTAAGAAGGCTATCAGTTGACGACAGTTATCAAATATGAATATATCAGAACTTTTGGGAGTATGCTCACAAAAGTGCGCAGAATTAGTTTTTAAGATTTGTTGGAAGTATGTTGGTGTGCTTGCAATTTTGAATGGAACTGGTAAAACCAGAGTAGACAACTATTCTGGAAAAATTAAAGGCCCACCTCTGCAGACCGCTAGTTTAGAATGTATCAGGAGAAATTTAGGAACACTCCACAAGAAACTAATTCAACATCCCTTTAATCTTCATTTTTTTTATGCTCAGAATTACTGACTTTTGCTTAACTTCCAGTCTATGAAAGTGCACTGGTATTTAACTTCTCCTACAAAAGAGAAGTCTTGATATAATAATACATATAAATAAAAATTCCCCCTGGGTTTCAATTGACTTCAATTGATTTTCATAATGCTCAAAGCCATTCATTGGCTCTCAGATGAAACATGAAGTTATATCTAGCCTTGTTTCAAGACGTAATTTCGTGAAATAATCACCGAGATAACAGAATAACTATTCTTTAGTGTGGTTACGGATGCCACTTACCTGTTAGAAGGCTCTTTGCGATCGTGGATGCTAACCGGCCTAACAAATGGCCAGAAGCGTCGATGACAATTGACTGCAATCGAAAAATAGTGCCCTCTTACATATGTACCAACAAATTACGGTTAAAATGGCTTTGTTATTATTTGAGACAATTTCCCACGTTTGCCAAAGTTTGTCTCAGAATACAACATCCTCATTTGTAGCGAGTAATTCTCGGGTATCTAGACGTAACATCACAATAATAGATGACTCAATAGAGGAATTAATATAATATTTTACATATTTCCTTATTTATTCAATTCAAGAAGCGATCTTATGGGAGAACTTCCTGATTTTGTTCGACGCTTTTACCTTTTCAAACCCCATGTTGGAGCCGCTAAGAGAAAGACCGAGCTACACATGCGAGCCAGATATGAGGGGAGGCCCAACGGAATGAGAAGGGTTGAGCCAGGTCGCAAAGCATAATCTTGGTCACCAGTATTTTCCGTCCAAATCTGGAATATATTTTTCAAGAGGGCGCCGCGCCTACAATAACTAAACAAAATAATTAAAAAAAAAATTACGTGGAATGCAATAAGTTTTCCCTGAATTTCCGTTTTCCAACCTTCGACCATCAAACTTAACACATTCCATAAGGATTAATTTTTGCACAATCTGTTCTGAGATTATAATTTACATCTTAGTCATGAAGTACCCATTCATACCACAGGCAGACCACACGATGTGTTCGTAAAGAAATAAGAAACGCGCCGAGTGCATTGTTGAGTTCTACAAGCGCAAAGGAATTTTTAAGAAGAAATGCGGAGAAGCACGAGTGGATTTTGGCACTTCTCGAGTGTTCTTAAAAATTCCCAAGTGCTTGTATAACTCAATAATGCCTGAGGAACAAGCTTTTTTATTTCTTTTATAAAATGTATCATGAATTGCGCGCGCTCATACTGATGATGTAGGCTGCGTGCATTATATCTCATGAAATGTTCAGAGAAATGCGCGCGCCGTGATTGGTCAGAACGAGTTCATTGTATTTCCATAAAGCACGCGCGTTACGTCACACGAGTGCACTGTTGAGATACAATGCACGCAGCCTACGTCATCGGTTCGAGCGCGCGCAATTCACGATACATTTTATAAAAGAAATAAAAAAAACTTGTTCCTCGAGCATTGTTGAGTTATATAAGCACTTAGGAATAATTAAGAACACTCGAGAAGTGCGGAGAAGCACTCGCCTTCGGCCCGCACTTCTCTCGTATTCTTAAAATCCCCGCGTGCTAATATAAACCAACAATGCACTCGGTGTTTTTTTTTTTTTCTTTGACAGTGCACTCGTGTGACGTAAGACGCGTGCTTTATGGAAATATGATGAACTCGTTCTGACCAATCACGACGCGCGCATTTCTCTGAACATTTTATAATGTTTAATAATTGTCGACATGAGACGAACAAAATCTAAGGTTATGAATAAAGCTCTGAAAATTGCATATCTAAATTACCTCTTGGTCCGAATATATCAATTAAGTTAAATGAAATGTTAAGCGACGCGCTCGTGGTAATTTTGCGCCTTCATGGGTCGTTTGAAGCATCTTTTTTACAAAATTACTTTTGGCAATAAAGGGGACAAAACACCAAAAAGAGTTCATTAACATTTTGTTTAACTTAATTGAGATATTCAGAATGAGGTGTAATTCAGATCTGCAATTTTCAGAGCTTTATTCATGACCCTCATTCATTTTGTTCATCTCAAGTCAACAATAATGATTATTAACCATGAATGCATAGTGTGGTCTGCCTACGTTTACATCAGTCCTCCACAAAATTCCGTGAAGATTCTCAGTTGCAAAATTCTAAATAAAAGCGCACGCTAGGGAATGGTCATGTTCATTTCTTTCATTGAAAAAAAAAACCCATCACATGCATTTTCAAGCTTCAATGAAGCATTTGAAAAGTAACATTTGGGGGTTCCACATGCACATCTTCAATAGGACAAATTCAGAGCTAGCCAGCTGGAGAAGGTGGCCTTCATTTAGATTATGACCCCTACAGCAAGTCCTAAAAAGAAATGGGATGTATTACAATAACTATGACCGAAGTACGATGTTAGAAATTGTCTTACCCCCTTTATTTATTGAACAAAACATGGCTTGGTTTGTCAGGTTTCTTGTGAGGAAGCTTTAAGAATTCACGCTTTGAAAAGAAAGCACCAGTGTTATTCATGATTCTTGGCTGTCTCAAATTGTAGAATATTCACAAGTTTACAAAGAATAACGATACCTTTGTAACAAAATAGCATGGTAATTACATCTTAAATATCTGTGACATTTATATAAATAAAAGGATCAAAAACTTTTAGCATAAAGGTAAATAATTCAACCTCTATTTAATAACTCTTTTTTATTGAATTATAGTTACATTTCGTTTTTTATGTAATCACACAGCTTTCACAAATCTTAGGATGAATAAATTTTATCAAACTAACACCTATTATTTACAAAGTCCACTGATGAGGACTATTTCACCTAAATTTAAATTGTTTAAGGCCATGTGACTGCTACTTTCTTAAATTTTCTTTCTGCACTTGCTGGTTTACTATCATTGACATCTGAGCCAGAATCACTAGATGTTGAAGAGGCAGAAACTTCCTGCGAAGCAACAAATCAAACAAACATCAATACATTCTGCTTCAAAATTAAATCTTAGTTTATATATGGCACACTTTCATCCACTCAAAAAGAGAGTTTACTCATTACAGATGTCATCAAAGTGTTTTCCTTCTATCACCTCAGAAGTCTTAACCCTTTTAACTCCTGAGATCTCATTTAGTAATTCTCCTTACCATTTGAGATACAGTTCTTGTGATGTTAGTTTGGAAAATTAGGTATTGGATCAACTTATAGTCCCCTAACTGATATTTTTCTTTATTCTCATCACTTTTCAGCTTGATATTGTAATGACATTGTAAGGAGAAATTCTATCTTGATCACTTGTGGGAGTTAAAGGGTTAAATGGTTTCATACTTAGGTTCTACTAAATACAAATTAAAGTAAGCAAATACTGAAAGTTGTCACTAAAGCACTATTTGAACGTATTCAGACCAGGGTGTGGAAATCCTCTAGGAACCCCCATGCACATTGTGCTGGATCCCAATGTCAGACCCACAATAGGGCCATCTAAAGCCCCAAGTACACAACTGAACAAATAACAATAATGAAATGTAGAGAGTATAATATTGAAGAAATTGTTTAACAATAAATTGCACTGTATTTTGCATTAACTCTTACCACAAAAACCCCATCACTTTGAAATGAGCTTAAAAAAATCCTCAAGAAATTTCTTGGAAAAATAGTTACAAAGGTGAATATCAATAATGCAGTCATTATAGCTTTTTATATCCTAGAGAAGAAGAAACCATAGCAGCTTGCAATAAAACAAACTACACAGTGTCTGGCCTGTAGTCTGTTACCTTTTGCAGTTTTCCATTAAAACTTGAATTTGACTCATCCTTTGACTGGAGATTTTCAAATGATGTGTCAACATGAAGTCCTAAAGTCTTTCTGTTCAGTTTTACCACCTTTGGTTTGATTGATTTATTTTGTGTTTTTCCTCCGTGATCAGAAATATAGTCCATAGTCGGAGATGTTGTATGAATGGATACAGAGTTCAATCCATCACTTATTGACTCAAAAGAGGTTGGACTTCTGTTGATTTTGATGCTGCTACTGAGCTCTGTTCTTGAGATCTTGATGGGTCTTGTATTTAATTTTTCATGAGATTTTCTAGATTTTGATTTAAAAATACAATAATGTTAATTCATTTCACCACATATAGGTAGCTAAATTGATTTTTCAAAAATTTATTTGTACGCTATAATTTGACATTGAACTTAAAAATGTCTCTAAAAAAAAACAAAACAACTCACTTGGTTACCACATAGACTGGACTAAGAAAAATATGAAGAAGTTGATTAACACATCTCTATAGCATACGGAAAGGTTTTTTCATTGATCTGATGATAATGTTGAAGAACATTGAGGATCAATATTCTATTTGGCTAATTGGAAAACTTTCCGCACAGCTCCATACTTAATTCGCATGCACATCTAATTGGTGATACACTGAATAATAAAGCCACACGTATGCATGCATAATGAAGTATCGGCCTTTCATCACTGTGAAACAGTCAAGGTTACCCATTGATTCCCTTTCCCGAAATAAGAACTTGAAACCTTTCCAATACTCAACTTCCACGATGTCTAGTTCACTGACTGGGAACTTGATTAATTACCTGGGTGAAAATTTCCTTTTCATTTTCTTAGACTCCTCGTAATTTTTCTAAATTTGGTCGCTTACATACCTGTACGGGTGATCATGTGACATACACGTATAAAAAAAAAAAAATAAAAATGCACTAACATACACACACTTTTTCCGGAGATAAATATTTCTAAAGATTTGATCAACATAAGAGTTGATTTGTAAAACAAATTATTTGGTACAGAGCTTCTTACCTCTTCGTTAGTTGAATTATTTTCGGTGTTTTTTCATTGGAAGTAACGGTTTGTCCACCACAAGGCACATGCTGCCTTCTTCTTGCTCGACGAAGTTGATGGAGCCTTTGGGGTAGTGGGGTGACATACTTATAAAATAGCTGGACAAGATCACCTTTTTCTAAATATAAAAGATGTTCACGAGGTATAGATCGATCGCACAAAATTTGCAAGAGTCGCTCTCGCGAAAGAACTTCTGGATGATGAAGCTCATTGCTTCCAGAAGACCTCATCGCTTCCGCCATTATTAATATATACCAAACGTATCTTATCTGCATTCTAATTGGTTTATTATCAAACTAAATATAACCAATCAAAACCTTGTTTAAATGTCGCAACTCTATGATTATCACGTTTATTATTGTCATGGTAACTATGACGTATCGTTCCCTCCAAACAGAATCATTGGCAACGCCATGTTGTTTGGGTGATTTTGGAGACGAGAGATTTATTGATCGAGTTTAAATATCATAAGGTTCTTTCGACTGATATTTCCGCTTCAAATTATTCCTGTTAGTTGAAATCGTTAACCAAGTGGTCAAAATATTACGAAATGACGGCCGTCGTCGCTCAGAAAGGAGATGGCTCCAGAACATACACATTTGCAAGTCAACCTCGACCTGTCCAACAAAGAAAAAAATATCGGGATCCACTAACCCAAGAGTAAGTGCTGACGAATCATTTAACTTTTGAAGTATTTTACGTCCTGTAGTTTTTACTAAGTATTTCTGTCGCGAGATACAGATAATAAATAACAATCCTGTCAATCGTACACCGATATCTGTGAAAAATCGATTTAATATTAGGCTTCGTTTTTATCCAACACGTCTTTTACCAAAAAAAAATATTTGCGATGGCGATACGTATCGCAGCTTTGCGTGTATCATGTACAGGAAAACAGAGCTGTTCTTGGCATAGCTTCTTAAACGTTTTCTTTAAAGGTTTAGCCCTAACAAAGCAAATTACTCCTTAAATAAACGCAGTATTTGGTATTGCTCGTATACTGAGAAATATTTATAACGCATATTTACTTGCTAGAACGTATTGTGATTTTTATTTCTTCCCGTTAATTTAGCGTGAACACTTGTATATTGAAGTTCTAGAAATAGCGTGGACCTTGATAGGTGCAGTCGAGACTCACTTTTTAATCACTTTTTAGAAATGAAAGTCCAACACCTTACGGAAACATCATGTACGATCGGAGAATTGTTAGGGGTAACACTTACGCTCAAAGGACTCTACCAGCGGTAAGTTGTTTTTGGTATGCAGAGAATCATTAATTTTTTCAGGAGTCTTTGAGTTGCTCCCTTGGATAGAGGCTGAATAAATCTCATGAGGGAAATGAGTAGGGTTGAGTTGGGGGGGGGGGTGCTGAAACTAGCAATGGTAAAATCTCTGATGTTTAAATATATTTTAGATATTATGCAAATCCCAAAATTCAATTTGTACACTCATGAGACTAATTTAACTCAAAAAAAGCTTCTCTTGAAGTCATTTCTTCAAACATCTGTCAAATTGTGTCTGATACAAACAAAGTCCTCCCCAATTACCACTGTTGGAACATGAATGGTAGGGAGTCACATTTTAAAATTAAAGTAGTATCTGAATTTTGTGATTTACAGACAGCACAACCAGATCCTATAGAAATTCAAAGACAACAAGAAGCAAGACGGAGAGCTATAGCCAGAAAACGTGCCAAAGCACAGTTGAAACCTAGATCACCAGAGCCTGTTGAAGGAAGGAAACATATTGATGTACAAACAGAGCTTTATTTGGAGGAGTTGAGTGATAGAGTGGAAGAAGCTGATGTGGAAACACAGACTGATGCATTTCTTGACAGACCTCCTTCTCCTCTGTTTATCCCTGCAAAAAGTGGTGTGGATGTTGCAACTCAAATTTTAGAAGGAGAAGTATGTTTTCATTATTTTGGTTACATTATAGTCCAAGGGGTTTGATTTACCTTACAAACACAGGATGGCTTCCATCATGATTTATACTCTAAAGAATAAGGGCATGTGATATACATGTACAGTATGCTTTATACAAATTTTGTGCGGTTCAGGTTAATATTTCTCACATTGAAGTGAGCAAGTAGAATCGTGAAACTGCAATAAAGATTTTATTTTTCCAAAAAAATTATGCTTTCTTAATGGGCTACTATAAAATTTTAAGAATAAGCTAAAGGTTGGGGAAATATCTGCAATGGTTTATTTTCTCTTGTTGTAAATGTATAATTTAGTTTTGAATATTGCTTTTGTTTTGTGCAGTTGTTTGACTTTGACATTGAAGTTAAACCAATCCTCGAGGTGCTTGTTGGTAAAACAGTTGAACAGGCTCTTCTAGAGGTGATGGAAGAGGAAGAACTCTCAAATCTTCGAGCCCAACAGAGGCGGTTCAAGGAACTCAGGAATGCTGAACTTGTTGAAACACAGAGATTAGAAGAACAAGAAAGACGGCACAGAGAAGAGAAAGAACGGAGAATGAAACAACAGGCAGAAGTATTGAGAAAAGAAAAAGAAACTGGTGAAAAGATATCAGCACGTGCCTTCGCTCAGGTGAGTAAAATTTGGGAACTTTACTATTTTTGTAACTTGTAGTCTGTAAGTCTGTGATAAAACAGTACAAAATTTTCATGTCTGAATTTACTATTTTAAAATGTAACATTATTTTTAACAAGAACTGAACCCCAACCAGCAACCCCTAAGTATTTTGGTGTTTGCTCTCTTCAATGTATGTGGAACTTACCCCATCAGTTCAGTTCTTAGCCTAGTTATAAATTTCTTTGAATTGTTATGCAGCTTCAAAATATGATCTGAAATGTGCTTTTGGATTAGAAAGATAAGTTATTTCTTATCTGATTACAAAATGTTTTTTTTTTTTTTTACAGAGTTACCTTGCGGATTTAGTACCATCTGTGTTTGGTTCACTAAATGAAAATGGATATTTCTACGATCCAGTGGAAAGAGGTAAAGTGCAAAAAAATTTGTTTACCTCTTCTGTCATTTTTATTTGTCTTTGGTTGCTGAGGTGAGGAGCAAGTGATATTTTCAGTAAAGAAATACTTTTTCTCTACAGATGTAGAAACATACTTTATGCCATGGTTGTTGGAGAAAGTGGAGGGTGAATTAAATCAAAGTGTTGTTGCAAGAACTGTCCTTGATGGTAAGCACTGACAGATCTTTCTTTACAATAAGGGACTGGTGTTTCTAACTTTACCTGGACAAGAACACTGTCAAACTGTTTCAAATAACTCTCACCATTGAGGAAATTTGATTTTAACAGATTTTTGACTTGCCTTATGGGAATGAATAGAAGTTGACTGAAGATCATCAGCAATTTTGTTGCTGGAATTTAAAATTAAGGACTAATGAAAGATTAAACAACTAAGATGTTAGAAAAGCAAAATAAAAGATACTCTGATTTTTTGGAAGTTTATTGTCAAGACACAGAAATAAAAGAATTTAAAAAGGGATCAATTGATTCTTATACTGTCCTGTTTTCACTTTCTAGCAATCATTAGAGATGTTGTTCAAAAGCGTTTTGAAGTTTATCATAAGCTTGAGGAGGCAGCAAGGTTGGCTGCAGAGCAAGAGGCAGCAGCCAGGGCAGCAGAAGAAAGAAAGATAGCTGAAGAAATTGCAGCCAAAGCAGCAGTAGCAGCAGTAGAAGAGACCAAGGCAGATGAGGCAGGAGAACAGGGCGACCAGGAAGCTGGAGTAGAAGGTGATGGGAGAGAAACAGCTGATAAACCTGAGGAGGATAGTGTGGCTGGGGAGGATGTGGGCAGTGAACAGGCTCCCACTGCTGATACACCTGCTGAGTCAGTGCCAAAAGATTCTGAACCTGCAGAAGATGCTGCCGCTGAAGAAGAGTAAATCACATAACCAACTGCTCTCAATAATTTGGTCTTTGTAGCTCATCTACCTCTTGTTAATTTTTGAACATTTCAAAGCAGGAGAAACTGGTGTTCTTTTATGAAGAGAAGTTCTTGTACATCTGTATAAACTCTTTTACTACTTACCATATGTTTTGGTACTTCGCTTGTCTTTTTTTGAATTGAAACTGTTTCAATGATAATTACTTGGAAGAACTTTTATAGAGAAACCCACAGCTACATTTTATGTATATATATTAGATCTTGTTATCATCCAGAAAATGTTTGAGGGAATGGATGATATACTTGAATATACAATTAAAAATAAACCTTACTCTAAATTACTATTGTGTGAGTTGGTATGTCTTACTTACATATTTAACATGTTAAAAGATGAGCCATTCTATTTCCATCCAAGAAAGCCAATATATATTATGAAGATTTCTAAAACTCACATCAATGATTCATACATTAACTGATTGGGTGTCTGGAATATATCTTTACATTTCTTTTAATGTAACATGGACCTCTCTCAGTGTGTCACAAAGGGATACAAAAATTATAAAAAGTCCATCAGGGGCATTTTTTCTGTGCACTCTTTTAGGTGAAGGAATACTTTGTGCCAAAATGATTGCCTAAGGCATTCTGATTATTTTCCAGCTTAAAGGAAACCCTTTGGCCAAACTTTTCTGTTTATTTTTTGTATAACCTTGAGTTAGGAAGGTGAAATGCCAGTAATGGTTTGCAGACAGTCTAAAAACATCTTAAGAACTATATATTAATTCCAATCACCAGTTTCCATCCATTGAACAAGATGGTATATTTATTAAACAACTTGATCTTATAAATATTTACTAATTTAAGTAGCCTGCCACACAGTCACTCCTTGAGATGCATTGCATGTGGTTGCCAACATTTGTCAGTGTCAAAGGGATCAGGCCACTTAAAAGGTAGGTATTATATGATTTAGAAAATATTTGAATTGCATTAAAATTAATGAATGAATATAATTTAATTGGTGAGATAACTTTACCTTTGGATTAGTTACAGGTGAAAGAAAAGTAACAGGGCTGACCTGTAATACACCAAAATTCTGCTTGATAACACAAGTCAAGGCCCTCATATCTAGCTAAATAATAAGTTATGTCCAGTGGTATGTCATTTGACAAAGATACTAACATTAAGACACTGAAACCTTTTGTTGAGATTACATGAAGGAAAGAAATAGATAAAAAAGCAGACTAGCTTTGTTTAAATTTTTGTTAAATATTATCCAAATTTAATCCAGAGAGAGAAATTAAATTCATGCTATACCCAATATTGATGGTACATCATATACCTTCACTAATATTGCTTCTCCAAATATGCCCAGCTTAAACTATCGGCGACATATACTTCACTTTCAGTTTTACCTGAAAAAAATGTCAGCTTTTGAAACACCATTGCGGCCACCAAAACGCCAGACTACCGTCCAAATCTGTACGAGGAGATGGAATTAACGTACACTGATCCGAACCTAGAATCGGACCCAGAGGATAGCCCTCCAGCATCACAACTCGAGCCAAGGCATAAAGCTGAATTAGCCAAACAACGCAGCAACGAAGGTCTACGCCTTCAAAAAGAAAGCCGTCAAAAAGAAAACCTTCCGAGGAATAGCCGATCCACGCGGCAGCCAAGGAAGAGGAAACATGAAGACACCATCAGCGCTATCCAGTTCAAGAAGCAAAAACTGAAACCTCCATTTTAAAACTGGAGAGACACTTACAACAAAAGACTTGCCCTAAGTCGCTTCAATACAAGGCGAAGGCAAACGTCACGCCTGACGAAACCTTTCGACAGGAAATAAGCGCTATTAAAAGTCACGCCGAAGAACAATACGTTAGCGCCCTGGTGCGCTTCCATCAGCGTAGACTTGTTAGTCACAAGAACAAACTTGAAAAGGCTAATATTGCCAAGTCTCGATCACAATACAATGTAAATACACGTGAAAGGCTAATATTGTCAAGTCTCGATCACAATACAATGTAAATACACGTGAAAGATCACGTTCGCCCTTGAAGAACACTGTAAATACTGATGCCGACAGGATAGACAAAATAGAAAATCAGCTTTCAGAGCTGAAAGATCTTATATGTACACGCTTTCAGAGTGATAATAAACATGTTGAAAAGTACAACATTGTCATCTCTGAAAAATCAGTCCAAAAGATTCAAAAACGAAGCTATCCTCGACGTCAAAACTCACTACAAACCGACCGAGACCTTTCAGTATACACACTATTCATCTTGCCACCCGCCAGGTGTTAAGAAAGGCTTTATTAAAGGAGAAGCTATCAGACTTCTAAGAACAAACTCCTCGGAAAGAAATTTCCAGGAGGCCATGTGTAACTTCAAAACACGACTTGAAGCACGTGGTTACCCAAAAAGCCTGATTGAAAAAACGTTAACTGAGGTCTCGTTTGCCGCAAGGCAGTCGACACTTAAAAAACAAACCAAAAAAACTACAGGCAAAATATTGCCTTTTGTGACAGCATACCACCCAGGGGTTAAAAATTTAAAACAAATACTGATGCAAGAATGGAACCTCATCCAAAATCAGCCACTGCTGAAAACAATTTACATAACGCCTCCGATTATATCATACAAAAGAGGTAAATCGCTCAAAGACATACTCGTCAGAGCGAAGCTTTAATTAAAGGCTTTTGCGTCGCAAACGTAAAACCACACAGGGGAGTCTGTGTAGGCCTGTCTATGACCTTTTCAACCTCTGCCAGCGGGAATGACTCTTGCACTGCACTTGCACAAATCTGCTGCATTTCAGCTTTCGTACACCTTTGAGCATTCTTTCTCAGTCTGTATATGTCTATATATATAAGATTACATAATTAGGTGTTTATTGTGCAGTTATTCTAAAAGACGTGTTATATATTATGAACATTCCAAACTATGACATTGATAAAAGCAAACCAGAAACAGAAGATTGAACAACTTTTTGAATGAAGAATATCTCATGTTGGTCTGTGGTCAATCTGGTTGTGGAAAGACTAATACAATTATGCATATGCTGCGCAATCCATTAGTCTATTTTGACAAAATCTATTTGTACACACCAAATGAGAAATGAGCATCAAAAAAGATTATGGACCGCGTGTCTGACAAAGTTGGTTATGATGTTATGGAAATAAATGACAAGATGACATTATGGACACAAGTGAATACCCCGAAAGAAACAGAAAAATCGTAGTTTTTGATGATCATGTCAACGCACCAGATAAAATCCAACCAAAGACAGCCGATTATTTCAGAGACTGAAGACATCACAATATTTAACCAATCTATCTCAGTCAATCTCATTATAATGTACTCCAGAAACTGAGATTAAACTACAGTCATATGATTCTTTATCCTTCTGTGACAAAAAACCACAATAATTTGATTGGGAAAGAGAACATGGTCTATCCGAAATTATTCGAGAGATTGGTATCATATAAATTCCTGTTTTTGAACAAAGAGAATAAAAGCGTGGTGTAGAATTTTGATGAAATTATCTAACGAACATATATATGAAATCATATCGTGTCAGAGAAAAGAAGCAAACTGATTGTGTTCTAAGTAATGAAAGGTATGAGACGACCAAAAACGACAAAATTATATTAAAATGCACCTGTGTTTCTAGTGGTGCCACTGAAACAAAGTTTATCAAACAGGGAAACTAGAAGAGCCCTAACAAGCTGGGGGCATTGAAAGAGGAGATGGGATAATTGATAAAATTTTGGAACAGGGAAGCCCTTTTAAAAGATTATCTGATGTACCCAAAGGCTTATCATTTTTATAAGACGCTTTCAGAAGACGGACAATGTTTAAAATTGAAGCCCAAAAAACTGTTGCTGGATATAAAAGAGAATATGAAAAAGACAAAAGAAATGGATACTGAGGAAGTTTGACTGACTTGGCTTTGGAAAAGTGTTACACTGGAAGACCAAAATATAGATATCCATTTGGGAGTGCTTTCGATATTCACAAATCAATCGGAAGGTTACCAAAACCAAGAAGTGGTTGGACCTTACCAGATCATAAATGCACAGGTCCGTACGATGATCTGGAATCTCAGTTGAAATATAATCCCAACACTGGCGAAAAACTTGAGATCTACGATCAGCCGACGGGTAAAACTGATGCAATAGCAATGCAACATGACGTCAATTATGCCGTTTGTAAAGATAAGAAAAAAATGCATGAATAAAGTTGGTAGAAAAATGGTGAAAGCCTTAGATGATGTACCCTATAAAGAGCGACAATGGGGTCATTGTTGGCAAAAAATATGATCGACAAAAAATAAAAACTTGGTTTAGGTGTTTCAAAAAACGGAAAAAGCCGTCGAGTAAAGAAATAAGTCGGCAGCAACAATTATCAGAGGAATTACACAAACGCATAAAGACGGATTTTACTCGACGGCGTGTTATTGTGAATCACATTTGATGAAATATGGAGTAAAGACCTTGTTGATATGCAACAATTCAGCAAATATAAATATCTGCTTATGGCTACTGATGTGTTTAGTAAATATGGATGGATAAGACCTTCAAAAGATAAGAAAGGTGAAACTGTAAGTGAAGCATTTAAAACCATCTTTAAAGAAGGTAGAGAGCCACAAAATCTATGGGTTGATAAGGGTAAGGAATTCTATGTTAAACATCTCAAAGAGTTATTATAAAAAAATAACACAACAGTATACTCAACAGAAAATGAAGAAAAATCCAATGTTGTTGAAAGATGGAATTAAACAATAAAACAGAGAATGTAGAAACAGTTTACAATTCAAGATGATACATAGTATTTAGACATGCTACTTAAAATATTGAAACGAATTTGACAACAGTGAATATCCAGAAAATTCATTATATTTCGAAAAAGCAAATAAGAAATTAATCGGAAAATTCAAAGATGAAGCTTCTGGCATACCAGTTGTAGAATTCATCGGTTTGAGAAAAAAAATGTATTCTTATGTTGAAGAGAATGAAAAAGGCAGCAAACCAGCAAGACATCCAAAAAATATAACAAGAAAGAACATCAAACATGGAGACTACAAAAACGAACTATTCAATAAGCAACAAATATATCATAAAATGAAAACCATCCGAAGTACGTATTATCTACTCGGATGCTTTAAACTAAATAAAGTGTCACTCAAATGCTTTGATGATAAGCGACACATTCATGAACATGGTATAACATCTTACGCCTGTAGACATTACAAAATTTGAAGCTGCGACGTCACGCCACAGCTATGGCAGTCTACATACAAGAGCCACAATCTTCATAAACAGTGTCGTACACCATCAATTCCGACGCGTGAGAAACCGCTATTTCAATTCCGACGCGTGAGAAACCACTATTGTCGTACGAAATAAAATGCTATGACTGATTTCTTCGGGAAAAGTTCCTGTTGCATCATTGATTTCCTGTTTTTTTGAGAGTGTCACGCTATGGTAAGCAAGCAAATTTTAAACAGAAAATATTTCTTTACTAACAAAGTTTACTGACAAACTTTACTGACAGACGTTACTTAACTAATTCTGATGCGTCAGTTATTTTTCAAATTTATTTTCTTCAAACTGTTTAATAATTCATTTTTCTATCTCTCGCCAGAAAAAGGTGTATAATGATTCGGCACTTTTTTTACTCTCTTTGCTATTGAGGATGAATTGAATGAGGTCGTTTTTGGTTTTCGCAATTGTATGACCACTAATGCCTGCTTCTGTTGCCATGTTTCTTATTTCAAACATTTTCATGCTTTCATCTGTTCTTCTGACATTTGGAAAACGTCTGACATTTGGAAAACGTCTGCCATTTTTTATTTTAACCATGTTTGTTTTTAATTTCGACGTAGAATCGCGAAATCAAGCAAAGTGTTTACTTGGTCCTTGGCAATTCTCTTCTTTAAACACCACTTTTTCCAAACTGACAACCAAAAAGTAGTGCTTTTTACAGTGTTTTCGTTGTTAGAGCTGTTTTTCGGCTGCTATATTGTTGTTGCGGTGGCGAAAGAAAACCTACTCAACACGCCCACCTTTCGCTCGCAAATTTTCAGCGTATCCAAAGGTTGTGACATCCAAAGCTCGCATTTGATTGGCTATCTGTGTGTTTCTTTGAATTTTGACCGATCAGAATGTCTGGTTTGTTACTTCTTTGCACTGAATTAACCCTCTTCTGCATTGAATTAACCCTCTTCTGCATTGAATTACCAGAAAACTGCATTTATCTCAACCAATCAGAACGGAGTAATTTTTTAATGTATATTATTATTGAGGAAAGAAGCCTTCGGCCAAGCCGCGAGGAGGTATGTCGTAAAATCTTTGTGGATATTTTTAATGAGAAATTTCCTAATATCCGACCCTTATGACTAATGAATCATCAAACAGGATTTTTGCTTGAATAAGATGGTTTTTGTGATACACTAAAATTAGTTTCTGAGTTTGGCGGGATTCAACACTATGAATATCCAAACCCATTTCATCAAACATACAAGCAATTAGAAAGCCAGAGGAGTAGAGATGAGATAAAAAATTCTAAGTGTAAAATATATGGAGTGACTCTCATAAGAATAGAATATAACGTTCAGAATCGGATTAAAAAACAAAGAACTGAAGAAGGAAAATTTCATTCGAGGTCTTGTTTCTGACGCGTGAGAAATATTGATGTTTCAAATCTATTTTTATAACACCTGTCTCTGATGCTTCAGAAACATTGATGTTTCAAATTTATTTTCTTCAACCTCTTTCTTTCAAACTAATTTTTTCAACCTGTTTCTGACGCGTCAGAAATGTTTCAAATTTACTTTCTTAATACCATTTTTGATGCGTCAGAAATATTTCAAATTTACTTTCTTCAAACCATTTTTGAAGCGTCAGATATGTTTTAAATAAAATGTCAGTTTGGTACACGTTTGAAAGAGCATCAAAAAGCGGTTTTCTTTTGCAAAAAAGAAAATTCTATATACTTATCTTCAGTATACAAGAGATATGTCTTCTTGCCCTGGCCAAACATCTTTACCAGCAACCTTCCTGTTTTACTATAACAAACCTCGAGTTCCGAAGCCTTTGCCTTAGTATAAATTCTGGTAAGAGAGTTCCATGCCTTCTCATTTGAAGTGATGACACGCGAATAAGTAGTATCACCCTCAATGAGAGATGTTTCGGCAGTTTCCGATACTTTCTCTTGTCCCCTGTTCATTGTTGTCTTTGGAATTTCTTCACCTGATGGCTCCGTAGTTGAATGACAATCTGGTTTAAAAGGTGTTGTTGTATTTCCTTCATCTTCATCATCATCATCACCGTCGTTGTGTTTCAAAAGAGGATCAGTATCTCCAAAATCATCAATTTGAAAATGAAATATCTATAATTTTAAAATGGATGTCAGTGGAAAAACCAACCCAAATTTTGAAAAAGAAAACGTCAAACGCCCTCAAGGCTGACGGCGCAATTCACAGAGTAACATTTAACCCTAATAGGGCGTCCCCAGGTGAAGTCCTTAGAGTCCCAGTTCCAAAACTTGATGACGTAGTTGTCCTCGTGCCAGGATCTCTTTCACCCATCTTTGACATGGCAGTTAGTGGTCACGCAAACAGTTATATAGTTAACAATGTCGCAAGAGCTCTTGTTGACAGGTTGACTGTGAAATTCGCAGGAGAACTCTCGCAGGGCACTGATGGTTATGATCTATTCAAGCTCTATGAGGACCTCTTCTTGACTAAGAATGAGAGGGCGAGCGTGTTCAGAGAAGGTATTCAATCTGTTGATCTTTCGAAGATCAGATGCAATGCTGAAGATAAAAAGAAACCAGGAGTTGACAGGGAGAATAAGCTCAATGATGTTTATCAGAACAAATATAGGATTCCATTGGATCATGAGATTCTGAACGATCATGGTCTTCTTCTCAAGAGGTCTTTCTGATGAGCTTCTTTTCGAGCCCAGGCTTGCACCTGCATGCAATGTTGTGATAGGATCTGACGAGACACAGCTCGCTTGTGAATTGTCTGACATCCAGCTTGAGTTGAATTCATTCACAGATAAGAACTCGCTGATGAGGCCTTGTTTAACTACAAAAAGGGAAAGAGATTCATGTACGAACACGTCACTCATCTCAAGAAAACCTAAGTAGGTAACAAATCAGGCGCGATCATCAATGAGAGCATCAATGTCCCAAGGAGGTCAATGAAGGGACTTCTTCTTTTTTACGAGCCATATGTCGCTGGTGCTAGGGACACTGAGAAGACATTGAATCCTCACATCACTGAAGTGAAGGTGATTGTCAATGTAATCCCAAATAAGATCTGGATAGCAGCAGATATATCACGAATTTAAGAAAATATACGACATTTTTTTAAAAACATGTTTCGATAGTTCTTCTGTCATCTTCAGTTCTGATTTATACAAAGTACAAAGTTGAATTTATAGTGTATAACAAAATGCTCATTGGACAAAACAAACCATGGAAACAAAACAATGTATGCAATTACAAGGAAAGTTTTAAATTAACACGAAAAAGTTGATGATTAAGTGTAGGTTGCTACCATTGAATGTGGATAGCTTCTTCGATTTTAAGTTAGAAAGTTGTGGAAGCGTGATCTAAGATGCTAAAACACTCGTCAGAACATAGAGTGCGACATAGTTGAGAATTTTGTAAGTGTCTGAAAATGTGAGAGGTCCCACTACTGACCAAGTGCTCATACACACGCGTGGGTAAATGCTGAGGGGTTTCGCCGACATAAAAACCTGTAAACCACACACGTACGGGGCCCACGAGGGATAGGGTCTTTCACACCAACTTATTAACTATTTTAAAAGACGAAAAAACCAACTTAATATCTACAACGAAAAAAGGGCCGGTGTAAGGTAATTTGAAATAAAAGGTCGGCGTAGTGTCTGAAACGGAAATCCTTTCATCCTGTCAGATGCTCAGCTCAACATCATCAACCGTGAGCTTGAAAGTGTGACCTATTAAGGATAACTTCTTATTTACAAAGACACTCTTTGGACAGAAGAAAAAATCAAGGCACACCATGACTTCTGTGCGGGAAGATACAACATAGATATCTGAAAATCTTCACAAAAGACAATCAACACCCCAATGGTGTGACAAGAGAATCGTTTAAGAGAATCATTCAAGATGATCGTTCAAGAGAATCATTCTTCAGAACTCAAGAGTAAGACATTGTGAACATCATTCACCTGTGAAAAATTCAAGTTTTCTAGAAATCAAGGTTGTCACCAAAATGTACAATAACCGTTTTTTAATGTTGACTTGAAATCAAGGTTAAATTCATGAGCTGCCTTAAAAATCAAGGTTGTTTTTAAAATGAGCCAGAATCCCCCTTTTATATTACCTTTATCTGCACCTAACGGTGATATGTTGTCTAAAACGTTGACTGGTATGAATTTTTTTTGAGGATTTCCAGATTGTTTTCATCAGTTGTTTAACACAGGCAGAGACGTAGCGTCGAAAAAACACGCCTCGGCAGTTCGCGGAATAGTTGTTTCATGAAAACTTTGGTTAACTAGATTTCTACTTATCTAAGGACTTAATATTTGAACACTCTTGACGTCATCTCTCTAATCAATAAGGTTATAGACGATGGGAAATTTTGGTCCGTTTGATTAAGTTATGAAGTGTGACGGAAATACTAAAATGAAATTTTAAATGTCGATTCGCAACAAAAGAGGAAATTAACTTAAAGGTATACAAGAAAACTCGTTTCAAGCTCAATAATATACATGAAAAAATCACTCGGTTCTGATTGGTTAAGATGAATGCAGTTTTCAGGTAATTCAATGCAGAAGAGGGTTAATTCAGTGCAAAGAACTAACAGACCAGACATTCTGATTGCTCAAAATTCAAAGAAACTCACAGATAGCCAATCAAATGCGAGCCTTGGATGTCGCAACATTTGTATTCGCTGAAAATTTGCGGACGAAATAATGGCCGGCATTTTGAGTAGGTTTTTTTTCGCCACCGCAACAACAATATAGCAGCTGAAAAACAGCTCTAACAAAGAAAACACAGTAAAAAGCACTGCTTTTTGGTTGTCGGTTTGGAAAAAGTGGTCTTTAAAGAAGGGAATTGCCAAGGAAATCGAAAATTACGAGCCGACCCAGGTTAACACTTTGCTCGAGCGATTCTACGCCAAAATTAAAAACAAACATGGTTAAACCTCACAAAAGACGATTCCATTCCATCGAAAGTGATTCGGACACAGACTGAACAATTCCTTGAACTGTTTAGCCGGACTTTGAACTTTCTTGCACCTTAAAGGCGTGAAAATATCATTGTATATTACTGTTTTGACAGAACGCACAATGTGACTCGCAGGGTTTGGATAAATATTTTTGCACTTGCTGCGCGTGCTTTGCCTCTTCATAATTATGAAAAGCTATCTCGTATTTTTCATGTATATTATTAATACGTAATCACATGATTTTTCTCGTTCTATTTGGAATAAATAAGCGCTTGTTAATTTTTTCAGACTACAAATTGCACTCGCCCTACGGGCGAGTGCAATTTTGTTAGTCTTTGAAAAAATTTACTCGTGCTTATTTATTCCAAATTGCACTCGAAATAATGTGATTAACTGCACTAACAAATTCAGGTTTGTCTCTGTTCAGGTGATTTATAACCAGCATTGATCCTCTGCACAATGGTCGTGCCTGATGCAGCTAATTACGCGATCACCACCATACTGTTAACACTTGTCGCTGTGGACATAGCAGGAAATACGTTGGTTTGTTTGATCATAAAAAGACACCTTCAGATGAGGTAATTACGAGTTAAACTCCAATCTTCGTATGTTCTTTCCTTAAATATCTGTATTTCATAACAAATACACTTTTTGGCATAGTTATGATGATTAGGAGGAATTCTTAAGATTTACCTCATAATAGCGGAGCTCGCAGAGCGTAGCCCCATAATTATACAAAATAGTAGTAACCCATCAAGCCGAAAAAATTTGGATGTACGACCGTACGACCGTACAAGGTGCTACTTTTAACATGCGTGGTCAACTGTACCGCGGGCGCGCCGCGGGCTTTGTTTAGTAGTCCAGTGGTGAGTGCACTGGGCTCCAAGTCGGACGACCCGGGTTCTAGTCCAGGCTAGAGCAAGGCATTGTGCCCTTGAGACGTGCGGGAAAAAAAAGTGCGAGCTCCGCTTTTAGGCTTGGCTAAATCTATACATTACATTTACGGGTTGCCTCTTGTGTGTTTTACTTGACTGATATCTTTGAGTAGAAATTCATTCAATGTCCATTACCTTAAATTTAGAATCAGTCCTTATAGTGTATTAGAAAACGTTGATTTTTAGAAATTTCAGGGGCGGGTGAAATTCGTTTGATTACGAGTCAATCTTTTGATTCTTTTGGAATTTCTTTAGGGGTATTTTACTTTCCAAAAAAAAAAACAAAAAAAAACAAAAAAACAAAATATATATATATTCAATTGTTATCTTCCCTATTGACCTTTATGAGTTCGCTCTTTGACTCCAAAGGATTCCCATAAATTATTTACTCGTGAACCTGGCAATTTCCGATATCCTGTTTGCAACACTTATCACACCAAAGATTGTTGTAAGCTTCAATATAGTCCACCCGGATGGAACTGCAGGCTCAGTCCTCTGTAAGTTGGTGACAGGTGGAAATCTGGCCTGGCTTCCTGGAATTACCTCAGTTGTTACTTTGGTAGCTATTGCTGTGGAACGATATTATACTGCGCTTTATCCACTGGATCCAAAGAGAAAACTAACTTACCGAAAGTTTAAGGTGAGTCAAAACATTCCCATCGACTTACCAGGTGAAAATACTGTCTGAGGTCTCTGACCAGCTGTTATTGAAAAGGAATCGTTTATCAGCATTTTTTTGGTCCGTTCGGCGTTTAATTTTCACGAGCTTAGATCTCAGGATCCGACATCGGAACCTTTATCTTAAGTTAACAGTCACCTCCAAGTTCCTCAAGAAATATCAGGGAAAGTTAACTTGGAATGGGTAATATTTGAAAATAAATTCATCCGCAGACTCAGACGAGAACTTCATTTGGACCCAGAAGGCGAAAAAATCTTAGTTTGTATATTACATTTATCGCAGAGGTAGCATACTCTTTGTCAAATTCATTGACATGGTACAACAAGACTAATTGTCATTCCTCATGCCATAAGCACGGTCATTATTCCTTACGCAAAAAGCGCGGTCAGTATTTCTTATGCAATAAGCATGGTCAGTGCTTTGGATATTCGATAACGACATATGTTATTCCTAAACTTGAAAAACACATTCTAATAAGAAACAATGAATGATTTTGAACGTAACAGAATTCGAATTCAATTTTTTTATTTAAGGGGTATGCATAGCCTCTCTTGATGACCGAAAAAGCAAATACACCTCGGATCAAATTATTTTCGTAGAAAATGAAACGCTTCCATGAATTTATATTTCAGGTGATCGTCCTTAGTTCTTGGGTGTTCTCGCTGATTTTCAACTCACCAAAATTTTTCGTCAGGACATTTGATGACCAGAAAAATCATTGTGTGCAAACCTGGCCCAAAAGGTGGATGATTGAAGCTTACTGCTTGGCGTGGTTGTTTCTGATTGTAGTTTCCGTTGGCATAATGATTGTGTTATACTCTAAAGTAGTATACACGTTATGGTTCAAACCCAATGATGGCAACCCACTAAACTATCAACAACGGGTGAGTTAATAATTTTAAATTATGTCTAAAATAGTCAAACCAATTCAGCTTATACTAAGCCAGTTTTGTTAGTAGGGCTGAAGTAGCCGGAGTAAAGGTATAAACAATTCTCTCTGTGGTTATTTGTTAGAGCTCCAGTGAGAGTACTTTTATTTTCTACATGCACATGACGAGTGTTTACCGCAAGGTCTACAACAGGGTCGCAAATATATGCTACAGAGTTTTCATTTAAATTTCTGCCTCAAAGTCTCGAAGAATTATGTTGTCAAATTTACTAAGCATTCACTTTCCTTGCCGTTAACAGAAAAATAAAATAATTGTAACCCTTGATATCGGTGAGGATTTAATTGGTAATAGCATCTGAGCTGACAATATCTTCTCTTTCCTTATACTTGATTGACAGGGTGTGCTGAAGGTGCGGAAACGCGTCACTTTGACGGTCATAACTGTCAGTGTCATATTTGCGATTTGTTGGGGAGCAGAGTCAATTGAATACGTGTTAAGATTTCTCACGACTCTGAACATCACCTTCGTCCATATTACCATCGTTGACATGATGGTGTTGTTTAATTCAGCTATTAACCCATTCATATATGCCCTCCTGAACCATCAATTCAGACAGAAGATCAGAAGAGTGACTTGCTGCCCAAGTTCTGTGATAGCGCCCAGGCCCCGGGCTGAAACCGGCACGAAGGAAAGTGTTGTGGAGGAAACCAAGCCTTCTTTTCTTAAATAGCTGATGACACATGGCTCAGAAGCCGTCAAAGTACCTTAGTTCTCCCTTGTTAGTGGCCAAAAATCCCCTTCAGAGAAAAAAGACTGCATGTAGTAGAAAACTAAGCCAAACTTATATCTTGACCACGGAATCTTTGTATCGTTTACGACCAGTATGGATCATAGAGAGCGAAGGAATTAAACTGAAAATATATGAAAATCATATATAAATCATTTCTTTTTTTTTCAGGCATTATTTTTCACTACTAGTTAAGTAGTATTCATAACAGCGAGGATCGCTTCCATTTCGTTTCTTCAACCGCAGTGTACATATGTTATTTTCATGTATTTATAGTAATGAATTTACCACTTGGAGGGTTTATTTGTAACCAACATAATGACAAACTCCCAGTTGACTTGTTATCTCAGTTGGTAGAGCGCTGCACCGATATTTTAACAAGTAAAGTATAGGCTAAAGTTTGTAAAAATGTGAAATAAGATATTTTGTAAACAGTCAAATTTACTGTAAGTTGCGCTTATAGTACAAATATCGTTTTATAATGCAAAAAAAGCTCCAAAAAAGGCAGATGAAAACAAGTTTAAAAACAAAAAGCAGGAAAGAAGAGAAAAAAAAAGAAAAAGGAAAAAAATGGAGAAAGGACTGGAAGACAGGGAAACTCTGAGGAGTTCCTTACTTTCATCCTAAAATCCTAGTTCTCATCCATACTACTAATTCTCTTGATCGATTCAATAGCTGCCGTAGCTAAACATCATCATCCAGCCTTCATGTTACATATCATTCCTTTCTAATAGAGTGAATTCGTAGAACCCGTTCGTTTATGCTAATGAGTTTTCACTCAAAGCTTATGAGAAGAACAATAGGCCATTTGCGAATTACCGTTAGTTTCATTTTCAAAGCGAGTCCTGGTGCTCATACTTTCATATGATTATGGTTTTCATTCACATCTCCATTACTTGACTGTTTTAAATCTATATTTTGAGGTTAACAATGCTTTTATAGCACAAATTTAGGACAAAGAATGTGTCGTAATTACTCTTTCATACTACTTGTTGTTGGTATGGTTAATAAAGTACTCCAGAAATTAAGGCAAGCTGAACGCCTTCCCAAAAATATCGGTAAGGGGACAAATGCGTGCATGCCGAGCACTCTGATAGAGCTTACATGCAACTTTAAAATAACTTGCCTCATATCGGATTTGGGACCTTGCCACCACCGATCTGTTGGATTTACCTCTCCGACTGTGACATAGATATTCTGTCGATGAAATCTATGTGGTATGCGAGTACTTTAACAGGAGCTTACTAAGAGCGACATTTAAGGGCTATAGCCGGGTACATTTATAGACTCAAGCGGACAGTTTCTTTTGGTGCAGTAAAAGAGCATTCATCCTATTCATTTAGCTGCGGTTAGGCTATTTGCAAACTGTTTTTACCACGAGTTTATACGTCTTGAATATTTAGAGGGGTACTGAGCGTTTTTAAGTGTTAATGACTTTCCTCACGCCAGACTAATAAATTTTGATATTACACCTAAACTTTTCAACGTGCACTTTCCTAAAAAATTTAACTTTTCAAATTTTTTATCTTTCTATAAACACCAATGTTTCAGTTCTTATAGTTGTTGTTGTTATTTTTTTCTCTCCCTTTCTCTCTCCTGCAACTGTCTGAACACAAAGGTCGCAGAGAATCCGGCTGGTTGCTATCAACTTGACTAAAATCCAGTGCATGTCTCAGTTTTGAAAATTCAATTGAAGCTCTCTTTAATAAATGGCCTCATCAAACTTAGGCTGTTTCAATATGGCTCCACCGTCTAATTTCAAGGGCCATTAATCAATACCATTTAGAGAGGGGGACTTTGGAGGTTTTTGGTTGAATGATTTTGGCAATTTTTTGGATCGGTTTTTGGTTTTTGCGCTGAAAAATTCGCTTTTTCGGTTTTGGTGCTTCTATCTGTTTGTGGTTTTTTCAAATGTGATGTCCTACTCGGTTTGCCGTTTTCCCATTTGTTACCCGATCTCTGTTCGCGAATTTTCACCTTCTGCTGAGTTTCTGAGTGTCTAATTAATTGAACTTTGTTTTAATGTTGTAAACTGCGCCGTGTAGTTTCATCTTTGCCTTTGCATGTTATGACGGTAAACACTCAACAGTCAATTCAGGTCGCGTGGAACCAATTGTTTTGAGTACCTGTTACAATCAAATCTTCCGATGAAATCTCATCTAACTTCTTAAACGTTCAATGTAAAGTTATCATTTCTCTGTGGAGGTTTTCAGAGCTGTAGGAGAGCTTTCAAAAAAAATTTTACGAATTTTCGTAATTCAAACAGCTTGAGACAAATAATGGTTTTGTATGCGGTTTTCGGTTTTGATCAATATCTGCTGCGGGTTTTCGGTTTTGGCCGGTTTTTTGTGTGCTGTGTTGTAGTTTCTTGTGGAACCAATGCCCAACCTCAATTAATTTTTGTTTGTCCTGAACATGTACTGTAATGTTACCTCTGAATCCCTAGATGTGATATCCAAGAAAATGACACCACATTTCACAATAGGTAAAAGAGCAAGATGTTTTATTAATATTTGAGAGACAGCTGCTTAAAATTTGAGCTTGAAGCCCAGCTAAATGTTTCTGGGGTGTTTAAGTATTTAATAAGTTTCTGATCACCTTCCTCTATACATGTCTTCACAGAATCTTCAATTCTAGACCTCTCTGACAACTTTTTAACAGAGATCTTGCTTGAATTACAACTTCTTCACCTTAGTTATTAGAATCCTCTAAATGATGCAACAGTTCATCCATAAATGATAAAGCTATGTTACAACTTTAAAAGATATGTTTAAAAGGATACATTAACAGCATCTCCAGCACGTTTGGAATTTCCATGGGCAGAAGATAACTTCGAGGTAGATAATTGATCACTCCAACTGAAAGTACAACAGACAAAATCTCAAAATAAGTCTTCTGTCATGTGCTCTGACAAAGGGTTCATGCTCGAAAATGTCAGCTTTAGAAACTGTTACAGTTATCAACCCACATTTATTTACCATCTCAGCTGAAAAAACTCAATAATCTTGTAATTTCCCACAACAACGCAGCACTGCAGTTTCTAAAGCATCTATTAATATAATTCACTAACTTGTCTAACAATCAATGTTAGTATCAAAACCTTGAGCAAAAATTAATCACAGTCCAAATTTGCCATGTACCTCTCAACAATGTTCTTAATGTATCAAATGTTTCCTTTACATTACCTGTGTATTGAAGAAGTAAAGGATCACCCACATACAGCACATCCGTACCCTTGCTTCGTATGATTCTTAAAAGATGACTGGAGTTATCCAATGATGGATGAGCACAAACTTTATCACCTGTATATATTGAAGAAATTGCAAAATTATTATCAATAATGTGACTAACTAAAATGACTCTTACACTGGACCCATGCCACAAGTGGGGAAAACCAGTAAGGGATCTTAGAATGTAAAGCATTCAAATTCATATTAATCTCATTTAAATGGTAACATCATAATAATTATATTCTCCTTTGCAGAATTCTTTGTTCTTCTGGTTGCCACTTGGTAATTAATTGATAAGAAAAAGTTAAAGGTCAGTTAAGCCTTGATACAAACCTGGTCCATCACAGTCTGTTGGTAGGCCACAAAGTTGTCTGGATTGCATGGTGCTTCTTGCTGGGAGACATGCATAGCCCTGTGATATAATGAAACAGAATTGTATGACTTAGACTGGTGTTGCCCTTAACCCTTTAAATCCCAGAAGTGATCAACATGTAACTTCTCCCTATAATTTCCAAACATTTTCCAACAAAACAGGTAATGAAAATACCCAAACTTATCAAGGAGAAGTTGTTACCCTGATCAAACAACATATTCTTGTAACTAATTTACAAGGAAATGTGTAGCAGCCAAAAGGGAGAATTAATAACCAGAGCTTGGGAGTTACAGGGTTAGAAAGATTCAGAGGGAAAGAAGAAATAAAAGGTAGGAGTGGAAGGGAAAGAACCTCTAGAGTTGATGCAAAGGAAAGCAAGGAGAGAACATGAAGGATGGAAGGGGTGGGCAGAGGGAGAGAGGAACAAAGGATAAAAGAAAAGGAGAAAGGTAAAACATGTTATGGAAATTAATGACAAGATGACATTATGGACACAAGTGAATACCCCGAAAGAAACAGAAAAATCGTAGTTTTTGATGATCATGTCAACGCACCAGATAAAATCCAACCAGAGACAGCCGATTATTTCACAGACTGAAGACATCACAATATTTAACCAATCTATCTCAGTCAACCTCATTATAATGTACCCCAGAAACTGAGATTAAACTGCAGTCATATGATTCTTTATCCTTCTGTGACAAAAAACCACAATAATTTGATTGGGAAAGAGAACATGGTCTATCCGAAATTATTCAAGAGATTAGTATCATATAAATTCCTGTTTTTGAACAAAGAGAATAAAAGCGTGGTGTAGAATTTTGATGAAATTATCTAACGAACATATATATGAAATCATATCGTGTCAGAGAAAAGAAGCAAACTGATTGTGTTCTAAGTAATGAAAGGTATGAGACGACCAAAAACGACAAAATTATATTAAAATGCACCTGTGTTTCTTGTGGTGCCACTAAAATAAAGTTTATCAAACAGGAAAACTAGAAGAGCCCTAACAAGCTGGGGGCATTGAAAGAGGAGATGGGGTAATTGATAAAATTTTGGAACAAAGAAGCCCTTTTAAAAGATTATCTGATGTACCCAAAGGCTTATCATTTTTATAAGACGCTTTCAGAAGACCGACAATGTTTAAAATTGAAGCCCAAAAAACTGTTGCTGGATATAAAAGAGAATATGAAAAAGACAAAAGAAATGGATACTGAGGAAGTTTGACTGACTTGGCTTTGGAAAAGTGTTACACTGGAAGACCAAAATATAGATATCCATTAGGGAGTGCTTTCGAT